TGTTGATACGACTTGTAATCGGGTTCTGGGCCTGGTCTGTAACCGTTTCCTTTGTCAGATTGGATTAGGTTTATACCCACATGGAGAAGTGCTATAAATACTTCTCATACTCCTCTGTAATCTGTAATCTCCTTGATATAGTGAAATCGGCTCTCTCTCGCCCGTGGACGTAGCTAACACACATCGTGTTAGTGAACCACGTAAATCGTGTGTCGTGTTTTCGATTCTCGCTTTCGTATTCTTGCTTTGTCGATTCCAGCGATTTCCCGATCCGTAGCAGCGCGTTTATAACAAAACCAATTGGCAACAAATGGATTTACAAGGACAAGTTCCTTTCTGAAGATTCCCTAGAAAGATACAAAGCAAGATTGGTTGCAAAAGGCAACACACAACAAGAAGGTATTGACTTGCAAGACACGTTTGCTCCAGTCATCAAAATGACCACTGTCAGGACTTTTCTTGCTATTGCAGCCCTGAGGAACTGGCATATCCACCAACTAGATGTGGATAATGGCATTTCTTAATGGTGAATTACAGGAAGAGGTCTACATGACTCCCCCTCAAGGTTTTACTCCTCCTCCAGGCATATAAAATCCTGTTTGTCGACTCAAAAAATCACTTTATGGTCTCAAACAGGCTTCCGGACAATGGTTCTCCAAACTTACAGACAAGCTTCATCAAATTGGCTACAAACAAAGCAAAGCAGATCATTCACTATTCTTCAATGCACATCATCTACCTACACCTGCATTATCATCTATGTGGATGATCTTGTTTTAGGGGGCAATGATTTATCATAAATTCAAGCATTAAAAGAGCTGTTACACAGAGAATTCATCATCAAAGATCTTGGCAATTTGAGATATTTTTTAGGTATTGAAGTTACAAGGAACAATTCTGGGATTCATCTCTCACAAAAAAAGTACACATTGGAAATTCTGGAAGAAGCCAATATCATTGATTCGAAGGCTGTTACTACACCAATGGACTACAAGTTACATCTCAGCAATGATGTGGGCAATCCATACGAGGAACAATACAGAACATTAGTGGGAAAACTAATCTACTTCACAACCACTCGCCCAGACATTAGCTTTGCTACACAGCAGCTAAGCCAGTTCATGACTTCTCCATCTACAATCCACTACAAGGCTGTTCTAAGGGTTCTGAGATATCTCAAAACTGCTCCAGCATCAGGTCTCTTAAAACTGAGGAGAGGGGAAACTAAGGGAAAGTGGCGACGACGACAACGTTAGCAAATAGGCGAAAGACCTTTTGCAAATTCTACTAGACCTCAACAACGTCTTCTCCAAGATGTGGCCGATCGGCGCCAATCTGGGCGAAATGAAGCGCCACGCCGCTTCTTTTTTATGCAAACACGGGATCATCAATGTCAAATGCTTAAGGTACACCTCCCAATTCCCAAGTGAAGGAATGCTCCGTAAGTCCTCTTCCTTCGTTTTACCCTTCCTTTGTTCTTGGCAAAAATCAACTTTTGGGTATCATTCTTTTGCTTGACTATGATATGATATTATAGGGTGTTTTCGTGATTATTCAAGCGAGGTACGCAGAATTGGGTGATTAATTCGGTTCTTATCTTATAGTCTATCTTTTTTAATCTGATCTCCTGAATGCTCTATTCATGAGCGTTCAGTTCTAGGTTTTGTTTGTATTGCATGTTGGATATGAGAATTAGGGAATTATTCAAGTTTGTGGTTTCTATCTTCCTAACCCCTTGTTTTGCATATCTCCAAGCTTCTCGTTCCTCTCTTCATGCTCCGAGTTTCTTTACTCAATTGTTTACTGTAAATTAGACTTCCTTTCATGTTTCATTTTTCGCTCTGTGTTTGTGTCAAGGCTGAAGGTCACTAGTAGGGTTGGAAATCGGTACGGTATTGGTATCCCAATACCAAATACTGAAATCTCGAATACCGAATTACATCCTAAATTCAATCGCAATCCCTAAATAATTTTGGTATCTCAATCCCAATCCCTAAATATTTCGGTATCCCAATCGGTAATTCGGTATCCCAATCGGTATTATCGAATAAGAAATTAATTACCTTTGCAACTAATAATTAAATATATAAATTAGATTTGATTGTTTAATATTTGACAAAGAGACTAAGCAAAGAGTCTTGAGTTTTGCTAGAGCTACGATATGGATAAGGAGAATGGAGGAGAGGTGACATCTCAAGTTTTTGTCATTGGTAATCTTTAATTTGATGAATTGGAGGTTGTGAGAAGACTAATACTAGTGTTTGTTTTTTGGTATTATGAAAATAACAATATATTGGTGGTTGAGGGTCGTGTAGTAGTGAATGAGGGGGTTTAGCTGAGACCATAAAAATACACATTAGCTTATATTTCGGTATTGTTCGGTATTTCGATAAATACCGATCCCAATCCTGTAATCCATAATACCGAATAACAATGAAATCGAATCCTAATCTCAATCCCAAGAAATAATACGTGTATTCGGTAATACCAAATATAGACAAATTCGGTACAGTATTCGGTATATCCCAAATACTGGTACCAAACTTCCAGCCCTAGTCACTAGGATGGCCGGTGTCTGGATTGAAAACGAGAATATCCGACAGGGATGCTCCGCAAGTCGTTCGACGAAAATGAAGCAATTTACCAGGCATTGAAAGACGACAAAGAAGAAGTGGTCATAGATATGGATTGGATGGAGTCGATGGTGCATCCAGATCTGATGTTAAACTACGAGTTGTGGATGAACAACGATGAATGTGGTACAAGGTGCAACAAGTAGAGGAAATTAGTCAATTATTACATAGGAGACACATGGATTTTTGTGGCCCATCATATGCTGAGCTGAAATGCTCTCATGGTGCGGAAATGTACAAGTTGATACCTACCATTAAGTTTTATGATAAAAAATGGGCAAAATACATTTGTATAGCCAAAACTTTGACGATTTTGCCAATAATAGCCACTTTTGCGGAAATACATAAAATAGCCAATTCCGTCCAATTCTTTAACGGTGTCAAGTAAGGGGCTGACTGGACTAAGGCATTGCTGACTTGGTGGAATTTTTAAACAATATTAATAAAAAAATAAATAAAAAGAAAAATGGTCCAAACCCCCATCCCCCTAAACCCAACTCTGTCTCTGGACTTTTCCAACCTCATCGATAAAAAAAAGTCTTTGTTTCCACCACTTCTCCTCCATTGATACCCTTCCACAGAATTCCTATTCCCACCATACTCCTCCATTGAAACCCAGAAACCATTCCATCCAACAACCATCTCAAAACTTGAAACCCCAAATCCATCAAAACTTGAAACTCCACACCCCCCTAAATTGCAATCTCATATCTCCATCAATACAGATCCAAAAACGGAATCTCCTATTTGCTCTAATATGAAAATTTCCTATCGACGACTAGTCGTCCGGCGCGGTGGCCCATTTCGTGGCTATGCACAGGATGTCGAGGTAGAGGAAGCCATTGCTCGATACTGTCGTCGAGGAGTCGGCGACTCGTCGTCGTCACCATCGTCAATCGACCGCTGCATCTCCAGTCGCCCCATCTCCCTCTCTTCTTCGAGTCGTAGATCTGCGATTTTCACAATTCTCGCCGGTTTTGAATTTTTGCAAAATCTGAACAAAAATCGAGAGTAGATTTTGGATCTGGGTGGATTTGATAGGACGAGGCGGTGTCGTCGGGCTCGGTGTCGTCGGGGTCGGTGGTGGATTGGATCTGGAACGCTGTCGGAGTGGGAGAGAGGATATGGATTTGGGGGTTGAGGTTGGGTCGGTGATGGAAGGTGGAGAGTGTGGAAGGAGAGGAGAAGAGGGAGAAGATATTGTTCTCCGGCAGCATCCATCATCGAGTGGTGGGAGAGGAGAGAGAATGAGAAAATAATTTGTGATTTATTTATTTTTTAAATTAAAATATGACGTGGCAAGTATTGTTGAGTTGTCGATGATGTGTCCTGTGAGTTGGCAGCCAAGTAAGCGATCCGTTAATTTGACTAACGGTGTCACTGACGTCGTTAAAATATGTAACGGAAATGGCTACATTTGTCATGAAACTTTTAAAATTCTGGCTATATTTGGTATTTCGTCAAAAATGGCTATTATTGTCACAAACGTGAAAGTTTTGGCTATACAGATGAATTTTGCCTAAAAAATATAATGATACAACTAATAACCAACTTATATGGTTTAGTTGCAACTAAAAAACTTTAAGTGGTCTGTGCGCAACATAAGCAACTCTTATAAGGTATGCGCTGCAATTAACCCTACAGTTTTGGATTGCGTTTTGCAGGTCAAATACAGGTTCAAAAGAGGTTGACCGCCGAACAAACATACTGTACCAATTAGTTGACCACAAGCCAAATAAAAAGCTAAAGAAGGTTGACCGAGGGTCAAACACGAAATAAATATAGGTTGACCATTGGAGCTAACACAATTGTACGGACATTTGACCACCAATCCAAACCTAAGGGTGGAATCAGTACGTACCGGTATCTCGATATCAAATATCGAAATTCTGAATATCGAATTACACCTTAAAATCAATGTCATCATAATCCTTAGATAAATTTGGTATCTCAATTCCAATTTCTAAATATTTATCTCAATCGCTATTATGGGTATCCCAATCGGTATTTGCAATTAGTAATTAAAGAAATTTATTGTATGTAATCTAATTTTTGGGCAAAGACTCTAATCAAAAAGTTTTGAGTTCGTCTAGAGCTAGTACATGGATAAGGAGAATCGAGGAGATTGTGATATTTCAATTTCTTGTAATTTGTAATCTTTAATTCTACGGATTGGAGGACGAGAGATGACTAATAAGAGTGTATGTTTTTTGGTGTTACGAAAATAACAAGAGACTGAGTGAGAGACAAATGACTTAAATTAGAAAACCAAAATTTGGTTGGATGGGGACTTGTGAGTTGTCAAAGAGTGAGTAATGACCATCGGTTGTGTGCTATATTTTGGTATATATCGATCCTGATCTTGTAATCCCAAATACCGAATAACATTCGAAAATGACCTTGTTCGTAGACAAAACTGATTCGGAATTGTCTTTCATTTCAAGGCATAACTTGTATTCATGTGCTTCATATTCGCTTAGTATTCGATAACACCAAATAATAATAAATTCGATAGGGTAAGTACATGCTAATGTGAATATCTCACTGATGCAATACATAATAGCCATTGGGTTTCTCTCAGCGAATCTGGATGCCTTGAATGGAAACTCCATTGATGGAATGGATCCAGAGCTCTGTCTCTCTTTCATTGTGTTGAATTAATTGGAATCAATTAGTTATTTCACTAACAGAACTTGCATTTACTCTGGAGAAGCCATTGCAGGCACACAGATTGTAAATAAATATGCAGTAATGATATTACAAACAGAACCACAGAACATCAGAAATTGTTTTCATTAGGGTTCTAGCTGTAGCTGTAGTATAGCTCTGGATTGGCTAGCCTTGGTGTAGGGATGAGAACTAACGGCTTCTCTAACTTGACGACGATTCCGAATTTATCAGTCAAATCCACCTCTGTCGACCCATGAGCTAGCTTCCATTCGAATGAGTGGAGCAGTGATGCTAGAATGTAATTGAGCATCTTCTCGGCCATGGGAATCCCTGGGCAGACCCTTCTCCCAGTCCCAAATGGGAAATACTGAGAACTGTTCCCCAAGTAATCGAACTTGGCTGCGTTCTCGTCTAGGAACCTCTCTGGTCTGAACTCCAGAGGACTGTCCCAGAGCTGTGGATCCCTGTGCATTGCATAAGCGTTGATGAACACGGTGGCTCCCTTAGGAATGGTGTATCTACCTATTTGGCAGTCCTCGGTAGGGCATCGTGGCACCAGCAGAGGCAGGGCTGGATGCAGTCGGAATGCCTCCTTGATAGCGGCTTCTAGGTAGTGTAATCTGGGGAGATGGAACTCCTCCACGGCATTGCTTCTTCCTATTACTTCGTCAAGCTCTTTGTGGACTTTCTGCATTGCGTCTGGATGTTGCATCAGCTCTGCCATCGTCCACTCTATTGTGGTCGATGTTGTGTCTGTTCCGCCGATCATAGAATCCTGTTACAAAGACAGATTGTTCATTGGTAATGCTTAGTCATCCTTTCTGTACCTCCTTCAATTTGAATAGAAAATCTAGCCAAGTTTAGGTGCACTTAACCACGAGAATGCCTTTGATTTGGTTGTCTGTAATTGATGACTCTGCAGCATAATCTCCATGGTTGTTGAGGTCTAGTAGTACTTGCAAGAGGTCTTTTGCCTCTTCGCCGACGCTGTTGCCTTCCCCTAGCTTCCGCCGCTCCTCGATTATGGAGCTCACAATTTGATCCAACCTCCGAAATGTCACGTGGATTTTCCTCTCCAGCCCCTGCAGGTCAAACCGGGCGAGTGATGGGATCAGGTCGGAGATGTTGGGCGCCCCTTGCAGCACCATGGATTCCTCTGCTACTCCTCGGATCTGCGAGGACAACATCTCCCCTTGCTCTCCATGTGCCGTGCTACCCCAGAGCATGCTAAGAACAGTGTTCGATATGAGCATAAACGCAAACTGCCCAAAGTCCAGAGCCTTGCCCGTCTTCTTCTGGTACACATCCTTAATGGCCTTCTCAACATGCCGCTTTCTCAGCACGTAGGAAGCATTGAGCCTGGCGCTGCTCATTAGCTCTCGGACGAAGACCTTCCGCAGCTTTCTCCACTCGGCGCCGTAGGGGCAGAAAGCAATGTCATTCCGGCCGAAGGAAATGATTTTGGAAGCAGTGGAGGGGTATCGATCTGCGAAAGTTACGTCGTGGTCGCGGACTTGTTTGACCAGCGACGGTGAGCTAATCACGACGTAGAGTTTGTGTCCGAGCCAAAGCTTGTAGATTGGGCCGTAATCTCGGGCCAGCTGTGTGAAGCTCTTGTGGAGATGGATGCCTAGAAATGGCAAGTACCCGATTACTGGTAATCCGCGTGGGCCGGGTGGCAATGGGGCTGCTTGTCGTGTCTTGTTGCCTTTCTTCATCAACCAGAAGGCAACGATCGACACTGCAATGATCGTAACGAAAGCTTCGACGACTAGTTCCCCCTGCTGCAAATCGCCGTTGGCTTCCTCCATTCTCAACCAAGTGAGGTTAGCTGTAGAGGATGCAATGCAAGTGAAATTGAAAGAAGAGGTGGCTATGACCATTATAGGGTACTTTTTTTTGGTTACAAATATGGGGGAAATTTCGGTTAATGGTATTGGAGAGTGGTCTGGATATTTCCAGTTGGCCGCATGTTTTTGTCATCTTCACCGCCCATTAGATGTGAGCCATGGAGTTTTTGATTTGGGTTGATTGATCATTGATCACAGTCCACAAAGGTCTTATCATCAAGTATGCTTACCACAGTTGTACTCCATGTGTACTTTCCTGCACTTGCCCAATCATGGAGAAGTAGGTCACATGAGATGCATCTCAATTCCATATCGATCAAGAAACATCACTTCATCTAAACGTAACGTAACGTAACACAATGTATGTATGTGATCAAGTATATACTCATCGTCTGATTGGAAACTCCCTGTGGAAAGATGGAGAATTAATCTCTAAATCAAGACTATTTATTTAGTAAATAATTTGTTTGATACACGTATATATGGCGATCATGTTTTATCCGTTTAAAACTAATGTATCCATATTATTGTCAAGTCGTTTCACTTTTTCATATTTATTTGATGACTCTCGTACTAAATACGTATAAAATTTATTTTTAATGAATTGAATTGCTAACTTAACTATTATTTATATATTAATTTATTTTTTAAAATAATGTATTTTATCACTATTGACATACTATGAAGCGTACCATTAGTTTAGAAACGAAATAAAATGCTCGTACGTATTTTATATGTAACTTATCGATAGTGTATTTTAGTAAATGTCCATTCTTAAGATCTAATTGATGCTCAGTAGGAGGAAGCTTCCAAGTTGGTCTTGCATAAATCACCCCATTATAATTTTTGTATATATAATATCACATGTTTGTAGTAGTCCTGTAAAAACTGCAACATACTCCAAAATAATAGTACACTCGTCACTAGGAAGATGAAAAGTCGAGGTCTCTGCCCGCTAGTACTCCACTACTATCATGATTAAGTTAGAATCATCGTGTAGTGGGGCAACCACATGAACAATATACAAACCAGAACCCCAAAGGTATGGCTAATACTCCTCATAATACTTGCCTAATATAGATGTACCTCGAGTCTTATATGGATGAACCAAAGTATATGCATCATCATGTAACTAATTAATAAATAAGTAACTAACCAATTACTTTATATATAACTTAATTATCATATATAATTATAAACTTAAATATAATTAACAGCATAAAATCAATTACAATTTAATATGAAAAAAGTAGCTAATTCATACTTAACTCAAGAAGGGTTCTAAATAGAGGTGGCAATTAAGATCCAAATCCATGAATCCAATCCAATCCATCCACCAAATTATCCACCTAATCCAATCCATTTAAATCCAATCCATTTGATCCAAATCCAATTGGATTGGTGGATTCATGGATCAATCCATGGATCCAAATGGCAAATTACGATTTGGTACCTATATTTTTTACATTTTACATTTTGGTACCTAAAATTTATATTTTTATACGAAAAATATCATTGGAAAATTACATTTTGGTACCTAAAATTTTTCATTATGACATTTTAGTACCAAAACTTTTCAAAATTTACATTTTGGTCCAAGCCTTGGATGTCATTTGGATTCATGGATCAATCCACCAATCCATTTGATCCAATCCATGAATCCACCAATCCATTGGATCCAATCCATTTGATCCATGGATCCACCAATCCAATCCACGAATCCACGAATCCGATCCAATTGCCACCTCTAGTTCTAAATCAATCATGCATTCACTCTATTCCTAGTAGTCGCTAATCAAACTGTATACTAATAATTCATACTAATGCAAACTAAATTATCTAACTTGTAATTGATAAATTAAAGTACCTACCTCATTCGACCAAATCAAATCGGCTCGATGTTCACCTTCCACCATAATAATTCGTTGTCTAGTGGACTCGAATTTAGGGGTCGTTTGGAAGTAAGGAGTCTAAATGAGTGATTCTGTGAATGTGTGTATTCTTTACAATCCATCGTTCTTTTGACGTAAATTTGTCCAGAATGCATGCATTTAAATGAAACTTTAGAATCTCAAATGGTTAGAATCACTCATTTAGAATCTCTACAAAAAGGTGAGATTCTTTTGTTTTACTTTTGTAATTATTTTTTTACACTCTTATCCTCATTCTTTTTTATATATTTCATATTTGTCCCTCATTTAATGATTACATAATGAGAACTTCAAGGTTATGTAAGTCTTTTAGGTCATTAAAGTGAGAATCCTTATATTCTTCAAAAGTGAGAATCACAACAACCAAACAACATATTCTTACAATCATCTATTTCTTACAATCACTATACTTAGAATACATACATTGCAAGAATACACATATTCGTAGACTCCCAACTTCCAAACGACCCCTAAAAACGTTCTTGATGGCGTCATCAATGCATAGTGATCATAAACCGCAGGAGCTGCAAGATGGAATTAAAAAAAAATAGAATTAAGCAAAAAGTCTCAGGCAACAATAACGATCGTTGAAGCTTCGAACTCTTCATCTTACATGCATCGGCGGATCTAGGGTTGGGCCAACCCGGGCCACGGCCCAGCCCTCTTCTGAATCCAGAGCTAGTATAGATTGTATAACGCTTATAAATTTTTCGATTTTAGATATTTGGCCTAGTGCTATTTAAAAGTCGGCGAGTGTTATTTGATAATAGGATTTTGTGTAGCTAGGAAAATAATCTAGATGAACATATCCAATCAACTACACTCAATTTAGCATACAATTATATTATTGATGGAGTTGTCAAATTAAAAAGCCTTCTAGTACAATTGGCATTTGTAATGAACGAAAACTACAATTTATTAACCTAACATTTCAAACTTTCCAAATTATAAGTCAAAACTTTCCAAATACAAGATAGTAGCCAAATCATTCGCAACACATCAAAATATTAGCCATTTGTTTGTTATCGTTGGTATTTTTCTAACTATTTTTTTAATTGAAATACTAAAATTTTAGAATATTGACTACTTCCAAGTCAGTATAACGTTGCCAAGTCAATATTACTAACAAAACTGCTAACAGTAAGTTAACATTTGACTAATACTTTGTATTTTGAAAGTTTGGCTAATAATTCTAAAACTTCGAAAGGTTTATCTAATAAATTTTATTTACCCAAAAAATTTTATTTACGATATCTAGTATTCTATTCAAAATGCGGCCCAGTGCTCTATTATATCTTGGATCCGCCGCTGCTTACATGGTTCGGTGTAAAGGAGAAGAAGAATCATATAAGGCAAACTCTTCGATTGTCTTCTGTTGATGGTTGGAGATAGGGAGTTTTCTAGCGATGATTTTGAGTTGCCGACGAATGTTTGGTAAGAGTTAAGTAGGGAGAAGGAGATCGTGATTGTGGTGGATTTAAAGATGAAAACTTGATTGAGGCTGGATTTAGGGTAGACTCAATTTACAGAAAAGAAAGAGAAGGTGGAATAGGCAAGAAAGGATGAAGACAAAGTGATGAAGATAGCTTCCTTCACTTGCTCGGAGGAGTTGAAAGGGTGAGTAGGCATGAGTTGTGCAAAGCCCACTTCTTATTAAAATGAGAAAATTGGGACCAAAACAATTTAAAATTTGCTAAAGCCCACACACCATCTAAGTTGTAGTTCATTGGGTCCTTTAGACGATCAAATGAATAAACTTAGGAATAGCTTATACAGCTTAATCCTAGTTCTCTTCTTGGTCCAGTGACACGGAGATTTTAACGAGGTTCTCAAACTGCTGGTCAGTTCTCATTCTAGAATCAGTACCATTGATTTTTAGCAGATTTTTTTTATTAATTTTACCTATCAAACGAAATTCAAAAGAAGAACACAAATAACAAGAACGATAGACAAAAACACGAATCACAATCTGATCCATTACAACCTTGACGATATAGAACATCTACCTCTATATTCGTCAAAACCTTTACAAACCCAAAGACAAGTCCCATATCACTTTCTTTGGTTGCCAAGTTGGTCGTACAGAAGGCAGAACCACAAATATATTTATGCATAGCTTGGGTTAAATACAAAATGGCCACTGAACTTGGCTATATAATGAAACTTGAACACTGGACTCACTATTGATACAACTAAAGCACTCAACTGGCCTAAATAATACAAAGTTAGTATTTCTGTCATTCCCGTTAAGACACTGTTAAATTTCTCCGTTAAATTGCTTATGTGGCTTTTATTTAATCAAAGAATGCTAGCTTGGAGGGCCACGCAGGACTAAGGGTTGAGTCGGCCTCACGATAGCCCAAAATGCATAACGAAAGCATTTTTCTAGCAGCTGGTAGTGGTTTATGCGAGGGGAATTATTTCTCGAAACTCTTCACCTCATCACCTGATATTTAGCATTTACCTTCTTATATTTGAAGTGAAATACCGTAATGTGTTTAGTTTTTATAATCGGATTCAAACAGCTTCTACTGTAACAACCAAAATCTTCAACTACGAAGTTAAATAAAAAAAAAAGGAAGATAAGCTGTTTTGCCCAGCCATTGCAAAGAAATTTAACAAAGATCCCTTTCCGTGGACTTGTCTACTATTAGTCTGCTACTCCATAATCCATATCATAGATGGAAAAAACAAAGTTCCTGTTGGGGGTATTACCCAGCGAGCTAGGAGATTGGGCTCCCCAAAGAAAGAGCTAGGGGGCAAAGCCCAAAAGGGTAAGAGCCAATATTCGCTAGTGGCCCACGGGCCCAAGAAAAAGGACCTCAAGAGTAAAGTACCAAGAGCCAGGTGGCGGCCAACCGGCTGGTGGACCACGGCCTGCAGGCGCCTGTCAGGTGTCAGGAGTCTGACAGGGCGGTTAGCTGTCTCACAGAGCACCAAAAGCCAGGTGGCGACCAGCTGGCTGGTGGACCACGGCCTGCAGGCGCCTGTCATGTGTCAGGAGCCTGACAGAGCTGTAGAATACCAGTCAGGTGTCAGGAGTCTGACAGGGCGGTTAGCTGTCTGAGGGCGCAGAGCATTAAATGAGGAAGGTGACGTGGCAAAGATCAACCTCGGGTTCGGTGAGTATAAATAGGGGCAGTCGACAGCATTTACGGGGGTTGGCTTCTCACACTAAAACCCAGTTTTAGACTTCTCTCTCTAGACTTTGCTCTAACTTGGGCGTCGGAGTGCTAACGGGCATAAACCAGCCCTTTAGGCGCTTGTCCTTGCAGGATCCAGGCGCCTGCACTGGGTTTGAAGGGGTTGAGATCGAGGAAGGTGTGACCGGAGGAACTTGGCACCAACAATTGGCGCGCCAGGAAGGGGGCGAAGCAAATGGAAAACTTGAACGTTGCGAACGACGGGGAAGATGTTTCGAGGTTGGACAATTCGAGCCATGAGGAAGGCGAGCGGCAACCGAGCCGAGAGATGAGCATGGAGGCAGAAGGGGAGGCGAGCCCTGGGCGCCTATCGGCGGAGGAAGGGGAGTCTCTGACGAAGAGAGAGCTATTCCGAATTATAGCCGACCAGGATCGAGCCATTGCGGCGCTCCGAAGGGAGTTGGATGGGGAGCGAAGTGAGGACGTACTGATGTATAGCCCGGGCGTCAGGAAACGAGAAAGGATGGGAGATGATTCGGAGTCTTTGCAGCGCGGGCACCCGTACCAAGCTGACCAAGAACATGATGCACCAAGGCGTTCACGCGCCTGGAAAATGCCTACCGAGGAAGTCTGTTCGGCCCTTATTAGAGAATTACAATCATTAGTTAATTAGGAAAAGTTTGGTATTCTATAATTATTTAATTTAATATTTATATACAATTAGACGTATGTTATTAGGTTAATTGGTATTATTAAATGATTATTATTGTTTTATAATTATTTAACACAACAAACTCCTTTAGCTCATCTAACCAATAAAAGAAATGGAATTAGACTTGGGAATTAGACGTTGATTTCTTTTATTTTGTGTAAACGAATTTATTAGAATTTTAATGTGTTTTAATTAAGGAAATTTTCAGATTGTTAATTAGAGAAATAGAATTAGATGTCGGTCATTGTCTTATCTGGGAGGAAGTCTATTCGGCCCTTATTAGAGAATTACAATCATTAGTTAATTAGGGAAAGTTTGGTATTCTATAATTATTTAATTTAATATTTATATACAATTAGACGTATGTTATTAGGTTAATTGGTATTATTAAATGATTATTATTGTTTTATAATTATTTAACACAACAAACTCCTTTATTTCTGCCCCAAATGACTCTTCGATCAATCAAACCCAAAAAATAGTCAGTGAAACCTTTTACGGGTAAAAAATACAAATCAATAAATAATTAAGGAATTTTTTTCGGATGTCAACCAAAATAAAAAAATTCTACCAAAACTATATAAACGGAAAAATCAATATGCCTTAAAAATCTCCCTTCAAATTTTACCATAAAAACTCATCTATTTATATATTCCACCGCTAAAAAAAAATACCAAAACTATATCTACGAAAGAATCAAACTTTCCTTAAAACTCTCCCTTTTTCCGTTGCCTAATTATAAGATTTTATAAATATTTGAAACAATCTAACTATTTAATTACTCAATAAATAATTAACAATTCAAAAAATGATTTTCGGAAAGAAAAAAAAACCGTCCGACGCCGGAATTCGGATCCAGTCCGACAAGGGATTTCGGTTGCCGTCCGACGCCGGTTGGCGGACCCCGTCCGTAAGCCATCGTCGGACCGTCCTCCCCGTCCGCACGGCGAGCTCCTTCTTCGACGGCGACGACACCACCCGCGACGAGATCCTTTCTCTTCCGCGTCAGCTATTTGTGAGTGGGGGAGTGAGGGATGAGGCGGCGGGACCAGGTCGCCGGTTGCGGGAGGAGGAGGTTGGTCGATGCCGGTTGTGGGATGACGGAGGAGGTTGGTCGGCGGCGATTGTGGGAGGAGGGGTCGGGTCATGAGAGGGTAGGCAAGATAGGTTTAGGGTTTAGTTAGAAGAAGGGCAAAATCGTCTTATGTTATGAAACTATGGGCGGTAAATAGTAAATATTAGAGCGGCAAATAGCGATTCATTTCTTATTATATGACCTTAAAGGATGCAGACTCACCATAATATGGTTCTGAAGCTTCCTGTTTCAAGATTGGTCTATCAAGCGGCATGAGGAAATAGGACGTTCAGCACTGGTCCCCTGCAATGGAAGGTACGGGTTCGACCCCTTCTTTTGCTCTAAGTGTCGTTTAGTCTTCTCTGCAACTAATCCGTTCAACATAAGCAAGGGATACAAGAGTTTAAACCTACAAAAACCTAATTCCTAATGCTGACTCAGCCCTTAGTCTTGCGTGGCCCTCCAAGCTATCATTCTATAAAAGCCACATCAACAATTTAACGGAGAAATTTAACAGTGTCTTAACGGGAATGACAGAAATACTACTTTGTATTATGTAGGCCAGTTGAGTGCTTTAGTTGTATCAATTATGAGTTTTGTGTTCAAGTTGCATTATATAGCCAAGTTCAGTGGCCACTTTTATATTTAACCCTGCATAGCTTTATAGCCATTGTTGCACTTCTGACTTCTCCATCTCCATAAGGAAGACAATCTCAAAAACGAATTCTGCTAAGCTAAACACCTTCCTTTTCTTTCTCTTTCCATTTTTATCAACACGGATTGTGCAATCGCTTATTTCGTCCAACAAAAGGGTTTTCTAGAGAGTCCATAAAAAAAAGGTTTTCTAGAGAGGAAAATACGAATTGGGGTTCTCTCATCCCAATTAGATTTTTGGTCGACATTAAGTGGGGTGTGTATGTGACCCAATTTGTTTATTTGTACAGTATATTGAAAAATATTTTTTTAATTTGGTTAATTTGGTTTTTTTAAATAAAATATTTATGGGAAAACATTTTTCGTTGTTTGAAACGGTTAATATATTTGCCTGGCCCGAACTTTTTTCACATTTAACATCCTGGCCAATCCTTTAAGTATTTAACATCGTAGCCCGAACTAACACTACGCTTTATTAATTTGGCCAAACACAACAGTTAACCGTTACTTTTGACGGTCAAAACCGTTGACTAATGGTCAACTCGCCATGTCATTGCTCAGTTAGCATAAATAAACTTACAAAATTAATTTCTAAATTCCACCTAATCCCTAAAAATATTATAATTAAATTAAAAAATTAAAATGAAAAAAATTGAGAAACATAAACCCTAATTCCCATCCAGCGCTCCCCACACTCGATCTCAACACTGATGAAGCGGCCAACTAATGTCGACGGAGCTACTAATGAATTCCTTCGAGCTCGTTCAAATGCGAGTTTGAGTTACTATGTTCACCAAATCGGGGTTCCCTTTTTCTGCAAATTGGGTTTCCCCTATTTCAATGGCTCTTCTGTTTTCCTTCAAATTGGGGTTCCCCTATTTCTTCAAATGCTCCATTTTGTTCCTAGGCCCTGATAATGGTTTCCGTCGTTGAGTAATTGAGGGGTTTAAGAGGGCTTATGGAGTGGCTATCGCACAAGTTAAGGAGAGTGGTTTTGAGAGCGAGATTGGGGATAACGACTTTGGAGAAATCAGGGATGAAGGAGGTTTTGTCGTCGCCCTCGGGGAGAACCCCAGGGAGCGACAGGCTTTAAGGCAGGCTCGTCAGAGAAGTTGAAGCGGCCAACAGATCTTGATGCTAAAGAGCTATCCTCCAATCCACCCGAAAATTCCCCTATCGTCGTTCTCTTCTTGTTTTCGATAGTGGATGTGGAGGAAGAGGGGAAAGGGCGGCCGAATTCGAAGGAAGAAGGATGTTCGAGGAGCGGTTGGGCGAAGTCTCCCTATGATTTTTTTTTCAATTTTGTTTTAATTTATAATTCAATCATAATAATTTTTAGGAATTATATGAAATTTAAGAATTTTTTAAGTTTATTTATGCTGATTGGGCGATATCGTGGTGAGTTGACCGTTAAAACTAACTGTCAATTTTCGAGTTTGGCCAAATTAGTAAAATGTATGGTTAGTTCATGATTGATACCATGAATCAGAATGTTAAATATTGGAAAAGTTTGGACTACAAATATATTAACCTTGTTGAAATAATTAGTTTGGTATTTTGAAGCTACTGAATCTATAAGAGGTTAAAAGGCTTAACTATCCGTTTCCCAACAACTCGAGTTATTGGGACCAAATGGTTAGTTCGCTAACATGGTATCAGAGCCTAGAACCGAAAGGTCATGGTTTCGAATCCTCATAACGACCCCCATTTCATGCCAATTCGTTTAGCACAAGGAATGGTATGTCCAACCTGTGCAAACTAAAGCCTCGTGGTTTGGCAGCACAAGGATTCAACCTGTGCAAACCGTAAAAATCCACAATTCGGCATCGGCTTTCGTTTGAGGGGGCGTATAAGAGGTTAAAAGGCTTAACTATCCCTTTCCCAACAACTCGAGTTATTAGGACCAAATGGTTAGTTCGAATCCTCCAAAGTCCAAACCAGTATCTCCCGCCACCGCTATTTGACGATTGAATCCCTCAAGTCGACGGTGAACTGTCAATTGCGGGCAGTCCTTCCGGCGAAGAAGAGACGGCAGACGCTAGAGCCGGACGCCAGTTCCGGCAGTTACTCCGCACTTTGCCTCGACCAGTCATTTCCACTCTTTCTGCCTACCTTACCCTTCAATAAGGTATCCTTCCTGACTGCGGCTCGAATTCTCTGTTGAAATCTTCTTCGCGACTGACTCTGGAGTCCTGATCGTGTCTTTAGCTTCTTTTGGCCATGGTTGCTTCCGACAAAGGGGCAACCGAGAAAGCTGCTGCGTTTTCTGTCTTGTCTTTCTTCGTGGCTTCGGCACAGGTAACTTCTGGCCGACTCTCTTCTTACTGCTAAACTCCAAATTTCTCCCAATTTTGTTTGGACCTTTTGTTACTTTAGGGTTTTGGGAAAATTACAACAGGAGGGAGAAGATGAGGAAGAAGTGAAAAGATTCTCAAGGAACCGAGTTTTCTTCATGGGGATCCCCAACTGTTGATGACTTTGAGAAGTTGGAGCGAATTGGAGATTGCACCTTTGGGTATTTTATTGGTACAGCAACAATCTATAATGCAGTACCACTTCATTGTTGCAAAATATGCTTTTCTAGTTTTAGTTCTTGCTTGTTTCTATGGCTTCTCAAATTCCTTAGGGAGCAATCAGTATTCGAGATTCCTGATGTTGTAAACTTTTAATTCTTGACAGAAACTTGATTCTAGCTTCGTGTTATTCTCTTCTTCTTGCAGTCAAGTTTACATTGCTCGTGAGATAGCAACAGGAGAAATAGTTGCTCTGATGAAGATAAGAATGGACAAGAGAGAGAGAGAGAGAGAGAGAGAAGGGTAAGTTATATGCTATTGTGAATATCTAACTGATGCAAAACACATGATAGCCATTGCGTTTCTCTTTGCGAATCTGGATGCCTTGAATGGACAACTCCATTGATGGAATGGATCCAGAGCTCTGTCTCTCTTTCATTTTGTTGAATTAATTGGAATCTGTTAATTATTGATGAGAGACAGATAACATTCATGAGCAGACAGATAACATTAACTGCTCATGAAGCTCTGTAATCTTCCATAACTTCTTAGCTACCTCCTAGCTCTATACACCCTACCTCCTAGCGGTATAGAGCAATGCTCCATGTCTAAATTCGTGTATATATCTTATGATATAATGAAAGTAAGATAGGCTTTCTGGGTTCCAATTCTCTCTTGCTAACTGAATTAATTGAGTACTTTCCCCAAGTAACTGAACTTGCATTCACTCAGTAGATGATATTGCAATAGGCAGCAGTTCATGAATTGATTTCAGTAGGTTTCTTGCTATTGTATAGCTCTGGATTGGCTAGCCTTGGTGTAGGGATGAGAACTAATGGCTTCTCTAACTTAACAACGATTCCGAATTTATCTGTCAAATCCACCTCTGTCGACCCATGAGCTAGCTTCCATTCGAATGAGTGGAGCAGTGATGCTAGAATGTAATTGAGCATCTTCTCGGCCATGGGAATCCCTGCGCAGACCCTTCTACCCGTCCCAAACGGGAAATACTGAGAACTGTTCCCCATGTAATCCAACTTGGCAGCGTTCACGTCTAGGAATCTCTCTGGTCTGAACTCCAGAGGACTGTCCCAGAGCTGTGGATCCCTGTGCATTGCATAAGCATTGATGAACACGGTGGCTCCCTTAGGAATGGTGTATCCACCTATTTGGCAGTCTTCGGTAGGGCATCGCGGCACTAGCAGAGGCAGGGTTGGATGCAGTCGGAATGTCTCCTTGATAGCCGCTTCTAGGTAGTGTAATCTGGGGAGATGGAACTCCTCCACGACATTGCCTCTTCCTACTACTTCGTCAAGCTCTTTGTGTACTTTGTGCATTGCGTCTGGATGTTGCATCAGCTCTGCCATCGTCCACTCTATTGTGGTCGATGTTGTGTCCGTTCCGCCGATGATGGAATCCTGTTACAATGATAGATTATTCATCGGTATATGCTTAAGTAATCTTTTCTGTTACCTCCTTCATTTTGATTGAGAAGCTTTAGCAAAGTTCAGGTGCACTAACCATGAGAATGCCTTTGAGTTGGTTGTCTGTAATTGATGACTCAGCAGCATAATCTCCATGGTTGTTGAGGTCTAGTAGGACTTGCAAAAGGTCTTTCGCCTCTTTGCCGAGGCTGTTGATGTCTCCACTTTCCCTTAGTTTCCGCCGCTCCTCGATTATGGAGCTCAGAATTCTATCCGACCTCCGAAATGTCTCCTGGCTTTTTCTCTCCATCCCCTGCAGGTCAAACCGGGCGAGTGCTGGAATCATGTCGGAGATGTTTGGCATCCCTAGTAGCACCATGGATTCACCTGCTACTTCTCGGATCTGCGTGAACAACTTCTCACCTTCCTCTCCATGTGTCGTGCTACCCCATAGCATGCTAAGAACAGTGTTCGATATGATCATAAACGTCAACTGCCCAAAGTCCAGAGCCTTACCTGTCTTCTGGTACACATCCTTAATAGCCTTCTCGGCATACCGCTTTCTCAGCACGTAGGAAGCATTGAGCCGGGCGCTGCTCATTAGCTCTCGTACAAAGACCTTCCGCAGCTTTCTCCACTCGGTGCCGTAGGAGGAGAAAGCAATGTCATTCCCGCCGGCGGTAAGGATTTTGGGAGCAATGAGGGGATCTCGATCTGCGAATGTTACGTCGTGGTCGCGGACTTGTTTGACCAGCGACGGTGAGCTAATCACGATGTAGATTCTGTGTCCGAGCAAAAGCTTGTAGATTGGGCCATAAACTCGGGCAAGCTCTGTGAAGCTCTTATGGAGATGGGTGCCTAGAAATGGCAAGTACCCGACTATTGGCAATCCGCGTGGGCCGGGTGGCAATGGGGCTGTTTGTCGTCTCTTGTTGTTGCCTTTCTTCATCAACCAGAACGCCATGATCGACGCTGCAACGATGGCAACGAAAGCTCCGACGACTAGTTTCCCCTGCTGCAAATCCTCCATTCTCAACCAAGGTGAACTGTAGAGAATTTTGGGGAGAGGGGAAGCTGGGATGCAATGCAAGTGAAATGGAAGGAATAGGTGGCTATGACCATTTATATGGGATTTTTCTTTTCCGTTAATGCTATTGGAATGAGGTATGGATATTTGCTGTTTATGGTTGAAGAAGGTGATAGGGACTTGGTAATTGCATGGCCGCATATTTTTGAGAGCGTCACCGCCCATTAGATGTGAGCCATGGAGTTTTTGGGTTTGGGTTGATCAACCAAAGTCTACAAACTTCTTGTCATCATTATTGAGCATCACTGCTGGATTCCGAGAGGTTATTTCATTTGGGGCCCACACTCCTTTGTTGGGTAAGATGAGAGAGGGGAATGTTTCTATTTCACGTCCTAATTTTTTTAATTTATCTTAATGTTTTTGTTTTATATACCATACCATTTGATATAAATGAATTTTATAAGTTTTGAATAATTCAATTTAAAATGAAATTTTTTGTGTTTAGTATTAAAGGAATTCATTTTCAATTCTAAAATTTAAATTCTACGGAATTGGAACTAGTTATAGCAATTCCGAAGAATTGAGATGGAATTTCCAAATGAATTTCACAAGTATTTACTAATTATAAAAGAATGACATGATTATCCTCTTTTGTTAACTAAATTACTTATACATATTACATACCAAACACAAGAATTCATTTGACAATGAATTCTACACTATACTTCATTTTATTTCTAAATATTTGAATATAACATACCAAACATAGGATTTCATTTTACAATTAATTCTACACGGTAATTCATTTTACAATGAAATGAATTTGTGATTCATTTGTTACCAAACGGTATGTTAATTATTGGGTTCAATTGCAAAACACTAAACATTTGAACCTTGTTCTCTCAAAAAGTGGCAAACGGAAATGTTTTAGTAATTCTATGATGAAACTTGTAATTCACCCTATAGTTACCGCTATATCATACCAGTCTTCCTTCTCCACCTCACTACTACTCCGAAACTAGCTTCAAGCTCCTCCAATGGCCGCCTCCTTCCTCGCTCCGCTTAACCAGACCAATCCCTCCCTCATCGCCGCGTCCATAGCAATAATATCAGCTACAATCTTCTACTTTTGGGCCGTGAAAAGATCCAATAAAAAGCTAGCACCTCTGCCTCCAGGCCCACTTGGCCTCCCAATTCTAGGTTACATCCCATTCCTCAACGGCGCCCCAATCCACCGGAAATTCGCCGAACTCTCCGCCAAATACGGCCCGATCTTCAAGATCTGGGTCGGCAGCCAGCTGTACGTGGTGGTCAGCTCCCCGGCGCTGGCCAAACAAGTCCTCCGCGACAACGAATCCGTCTTCTCGAGCCGCGAGCTCCCGTTAGTGGGCCGGATCTGCACCTACGGCGGGCTGGACCTGGCCTGCCTCCCGATGGGCCCGGACTGGAACTCGATGCGGAAGGTCCTGGTCCGGGAAGCCCTCAGCAGCCCAGGCCTGGACGGGTGCTACGAACTGCGGAGGAGAGAGGTCGTCAAAGCTCTTAACGAAGTAGAAGTCGGTAAGCCGGTTGGCGTGTTCGAATTGGCGCACAAGGTGGTCGGAAATGCGACTCTGGGTATGCTGTGGGGCGGCGGCGGAGGAGGGGGAGTTGTTGGTGGCGATTACGGGGAGACTCGGGAAGTGGGGCAGCGGATTATGGAGCTGATGGCGAAGCCGAATGTTTCTGATCTGTTTCCGATGCTGGCGAGGTTTGATCTGCAGGGGATTGGGAGGGAAGCGGCGGAACTGGCGGAGAGGTTTGATCGGATTGTCAGCGCTATGATTCGGAAACGATTAGACGGCGGCGGGGAGAAGAAGGGAGGCGAGATTGATAAGGTGGATTTGTTGCAGGTTTTGCTGGAGAGAAGGGGAAGTTCCGGCGCTGGATCGCCGTTGACTTCCATGGCCCACTTCAAAGCCATGCTTCAGGTACTGCAGTTTCTGATCGGTTTTCCCCAGGCTCAAAATTGTTGAAAGTCAACGTTGAAGGAATTAACAAATATATATGGCCACGGCACCAAGCTTTTTTAGAAATAAATTTTATAAATGGTTAGGTAGAGACGTAGAGCAAAGGCTGAGTCTTGGTTAGGTTTGGTTTAATTTGGAATGTTCATTAAAAGTCAAAAAAAGAGTAGTGGTTTAGAACAATGCAGTGAAAACTGAAAAGTAAGATTCTAACTAAAAAGGATAAAATTTGTAAAGCATACAATCAAAGCGTAAAAGCGTAAAGTTTTTATGCATATTGTTTAATAGCTAAAAATGTGTTAAGTACGACAAATATTATGAAAAATATGAGTGAATAGTATTTAAGAAATACCTGCAATTTATGTCTGAAATAGAGCAACTCATAATATATTAAGAATAAGTTCATAAATATTAGATCTTAACAATAAGTCACTTTTGTCTCTATGCTAATGAATTTGGAAAGCGCCTAGTTGGTGAATTAGATTAGTCTATTGAAGCTGAGAATACATCCAAGTACGTGGTATGTATATTTTAATCTCATATGTATCTTATTGTTGGTGATTTACCTTTGAAATATACTTTTTATAATTAATTTCACGAACAGAATACTCATTTAGTGAACAAGAAGCGTAAAAGCGTAAAGCATTTTGGTGAACTAAAAGCGTAAGCTTTAAAGCGCAAATTATACCAATTTTATACACTAAAAATTTTGTATGGAAACGGAAGCGTTTTTGTGATCTAGAAGCGTAAACCGTAAGTTTTTAAATTTTATAGCGCGATTTTGACTACATTGGTTTAGAGTAGTTAACAAATATGGCTACCAATATCTTTTTTTAGTTAACTCGTTATTGAAGTTTGGAATTAATGACTAATAAAGTTGTTATCTCGCTTGTAAAAGAAACAATCATGTAGTTAAATTGTCAAAATTAGGATGTCAATGTCCCAAAGTCAATATGAGATATTTGATTCAAATAAATGTATTAGTTAAAAATGGATCATCCATGTCAATTCATATGTGTCATGTAAGTTTTTCTATTACCACAAATTTACTTTAAGCCTACATACTAATGAAATTAAATAAAACCACTATCTTAATAAAAATACCCTATCCCTCTGATTTATCACTTACAAACAACCTGATTTTACAATCATTGATTAATATATGTTGTGTTGGCAGGACGTTTGTAATCGAGAAAGAACTCGCTCGATTTGGGAATTAGGGTTCGAAGCAAGAAGAAGTTTCAGAGAGAACAAGTTTTAGAGAGAAGGAAAGAAAGGATCGAATTGGTTGGAGAGGAATGACCGAGTCTTCTCGGTTATGGTTATATAACGTGGGCCAATGTCTTGACTCGGCCCAGATGTAATGAACAGAATTGGTTGGGCTTGGTATGACTAGAGAAGGTCTTTCAGCCCAACACTTCTGTCAGCTACAATCCGACCAAAGAAACAGAGTTACCACTCTGCTGCTGCTTCAGCAACGAGACCAACAGAGTTCTGGGAAAAACAGAGTGCAAGAACAGAGCAGAGCAGAAATGGAGAAGACACAGTCCGTTTTTTAACGTGGTTCGCCCTAGTGCAATGGTGTACTTCCACGTCCCAGAATATGGTCTGGGAGACCTTTTATTAAGAAATAAAATGCAACTAAATATTAACACGAAACAAGCAAGAAGAAATTAGCAAACTAAACAACGAAAAGCCCAGCTGCCTTGACACCAGTTGAACCTCTGCCTCAACTTGTGTCAACCCTTTTGCAAACCCAGCGCTATGCCCTTTACCGCAATAGCTCCTACAAAAGTGAATTTGTCATTCTCAATCACTCGGGTATATATAGACTTCTCAAACAAGGAACTAGCCGTTGGAGGTAGAGAAGGTAGGTTCTCAATCAAGGCTACAGTTTCCTTAAGCGACTCCAGTGATTGAGCTGCAAAAGAATCAACGGTTAAAATAGACAATCTTCAACTTGATTTAATCCGCTGATTTCAACAATCTCCCCCTAAGTTGGAGGATTGTCGATTGCCTCTTCCCTGCATACATAAAGCACATCTTTCCACCAAGAGCTCAGCAATAATATGACATAGGGAACCAATTTAGAACTCAGACCGAAAAGAAACTTTATTCAAACAGCAGAGACACGCCAAAACTGCATAAACAAAAGACACCTGAAAGAGAATACCACAAACAACTAACTCCTCTTAACAATTCAACCATACCACTCAAGACAGAAACACGCTGACTCCCCCTAAACCGTTTCACCAAAAAAACTTTAGGGATCAGAACTATCGCTAGAGGAAACTGCATCTGGCTGAGCCAAAACAGGGGAATCTGGAACAGGGGAATCTGATCCTTCGGTATCAGAGCCATAGAGATCATGCAGAGCAGCTGCAAAGGATGGTAGAGCAGATCCAGACCCTTCAGGAACTGCTTCTTCAGCTTCATCTTCTTCCGAGTCACTGCTGAGCCAATGTATGAAGGGTCCCTCCCCCTCAATCGCAATCCCGATTTCTTCTAGAATATCATTCGCATGGAGCCAAAGGGAAGGGGATTCAGTGCGATAGGCAGAGAGGTCCAGAGGCAAAGCAAGCAGCAGTCGAGTAATCATTGCTCCAAAAGGAAGAGATGCATGGAAATTATGATCAATAAAAGGGAGCAGAGCACCAAACAGAAGGTGGGAGAAGTCCAAAGGTACACCAGCAGCAGCATGAGCTAAGATCCAAAGGTCAAGGGGCAAAACACGATCAAGAAAAGTGACACGAGGCAGAAACACTCTGGTCAGGATATAGTGAAAAGCTTGCAGCGAAGGGGACAGAAGACCAGAGGAAAAGGTAAGATCTTGATCTGGTTCATGCCCAGTCAGATGAACTGCCTCAGTAACAATGTTGAAGTTGAAGAGAGGGAGTTCATCAGGATGAGCTAACGCTTCACCAAAGGCAGGAATGTTGAGAAGGCGACTGATATCAGGAAGCGGGAGAGTCATCATATGACCATGGACAAGGGAGGATATGGTACGGGTGTGAAGACCAAAGTACCTCAGGTTTGAGTAAAAAACCCTAACAGCTTCAGGACATATGAGAGTGGATGAAAAATCTGGCATGAGAAGAAATTCCCAGCCGAGATTATAGATATAAGGCATGATGTCTAAGCCAAGTGGTGCAAAGTCAGGGATGTGAACAACGGTGGCAGGATTGATAGGGCGATTTGCAAAGGATTGAGTGTGGCGATGATAATTGGCTAGGACAGGCTCATGGAAGTGAACTCCTGAGTAGGTCAAAGCAAAGGCATAAACCATGGCTGACTAAAAGGAAAAAGACTCACTAGGACTTACGAAGGACTGAGATTACTCAGAACTTAAAAAGACATTACCAGAGCAGAAAAGAGGAAACTATATCAATCAATTAGACAAAAACAAGGAAGGAAAATATGCCAGAAAGAAAAAGGAAAGCAGAATACAACAAACAGGGTAACCTAGCTAAGGCTAGACATCGTTAGCAGTAGTAATCGAGGAAAGAGATCGCAGACCAATCTCACAGCAAAGAAAATTGAAGCGATCAGAGGACAAGGGTTTGGTAAAAAGATCTGCCAGTTGAAATTCAGTATTAATGTACTGGAGTTTTATAATGCCAGCACTGACTAAATCACGGATGAAATGATATTTAATTTCAATGTGTTTAGTACGTGAATGTTGCACAGGGTTTTTAGACATGCAGATAGCACTAGTGTTGTCACAAAGCAAGGGAATATTAGTTATAGTAATGCCATAGTCCTGTAATTGACTTTTTAACCACAATAGCTGAGTACAAGTACTTCCAGCAGCAATATATTCTGCTTCAGCTGTGGATAGGGCAACTGCCCCTTGCTTTTTACAGGACCAGGAAATCAGAGAAGTTCCTACGAATTGACAACTACCAGAGGTGCTTCTCCTATCAGTCAGACTCCCAGCAAAGTCAGAGTCACTGTATCCAACAAGGTCAAACTGATTATGTTTAGGATACCATAGCCCAATGTCCATGGTACCTTTCAAATATCTAAAGATACGTTTGACCGCAGACAGATGACTTTCTTTGGGTGCTGACTGAAAACGAGCACATAAACACACACTGTGTTGAATATCAGGACGACTAGCAGTCAAGTACAGCAAGGAACCAATCATTCCTCTATATTTGGATTCATCCACTGGTGTTCCAGTTTCATCTTTTTCAAGTTTCAAATTTACAGCCATGGGAGTGGGGCTGGAGTTAAGACCCATCATATCAAACTTTTTTAATATAGAAGCTATATATTTAGTTTGACTTATGAAAGTACCTGAGTTCATTTGTTTAATTTGGAGTCCGAGGAAAAATTGCAGTTCCCCCATCATACTCATCTCGAAATCTTCTTTCATAGAATCACAGAACTCAGAGCACATATCTTTGTTAGTAGCACCAAACACAATATCATCCACATAGATTTGAACTAAAAGAATATCATCAGATTTGTGTTTAATAAAAAGGGTTTTATCAACTGAGCCTTGAGTAAAACCGTGTTGAAGAAGAAACAGAGTGAGTCTATCATACCAAGCCCTTGGGGCTTGTTTGAGACCATAGAGAGCTTTTCTAAGTTTATAGACATGATTAGGATGTTGATGATCTTCAAAACCAGGTGGTTGTGAAACATAAACTTCCTCTTGAATGTCACCATTCAGAAAAGCACTCTTTACATCCATTTGGTAAAGAGGGAATCCCATATAGCAAGCATAAGCACATAACAAGCGAATGGACTCTAACCTAGCCACAGGGGCAAAAGTCTCATCATAATCAACTCCTTCCTCCTGTGAGTATCCTTGAGCCACTAGCCTAGCTTTATTACGAATTATATTACCAATTTCATCTGATTTATTCCTAAAAACCCATTTAGTTCCAATCACAGATTGGTTTAAGGGTCTTGGAACAAGATCCCAGACATGAAGTGACTTGAACTGAGTTAATTCATCAACCATAGCAAAGAACCATTCATCATTCTTAATAGCTTCTTTATAATTTTTAGGTTCAAACTGAGACACATAAGCATACTGTCCAGGAACATACTTACCTCTGGTTCTAAGTCCATCATGTATGTCGCCAATTATTTGTTCTGCTGGATGACGCCTTTGAATGTGAGGTGGTGCAGTTATGACAGCAGCTGAAGATTCATCTTCAGTACCAGCAGTTTTATGACTGCAGGCTTCATCCTCTTTTGGACTTTTTTCCAAAGTATTTTTATTGATCTCTTCTGAATTTGTGCGCATCATTTCCAGCAAGTCATATACCTGCAGCTCCTGCTCAGATTCTCGATTCACAGGGTTAGAATCATTGAAAATGACATGTACAGACTCTTCCACTCTTTGAGTACGCTTGTTATAAACACGATAGGCTTGACCCTTTAAGGAATATCCTAGAAATATAGCCTTGTCAGATTTTGCATCAAATTTTCCCAGTTTATCTTTGGTATTCAAAACATGACAAGGACACCCAAAAGGATGAAAATAAGCAAGATTAGGAATCTTATCTTTGAAAATTTCATAAGGGGTTTTATTTAGACCTTTCCTAATTAGAACCCGATTTGTGACATAGCAAGCTGTACTTACTGCCTCTGCCCAAAAAAATTTAGGAAGATTGAACTCAAGAAGCATAGTTCGAGCACATTCTATAAGAGTTCTATTTTTTCTTTCCACAACTCCATTCTGCTGAGGAGTTCTAGGAGCAGAAAATGTGTGACTAATTCCTGATTCATTACACAAGGTTTCAAACTCTTCTGAAATGAACTCCCCTCCATTATCACTTTTGACAGTCTTAATTTGTTGGCCAAAAAGTGTGACAAACAATTTGAACTTAGACAGGGTATCATCTTTGTGAGCAAGAAAATAAACCCAAGTATACCTAGAGTAATCATCTACTAGCACAAACACATAATTCTTACCACCTAGACTAGTAACATTACATGGACCAAACAGGTCCATGTGTATTAATTCAAACATCTGACTAGAAGTAATACTAGCTTTAGGTTTAAAGGCTTTTCTAGTGTGCTTACCACTGACACACGTTTCACAAAAGAAGTCAGTTTTATCTTTTAAGACAGGAACTCCTCTAACTTTATTAGACTTTGTTAAGTTTACCAACTTTGGCAAGCTAACATGTCCCATCTTACGATGCCACAAGAGCTCTTGTTGAAAAGAAGTGACAAAACATAATTCATTAAACGCACTTAGATTGCTAAGATCAATCACATACATATTATTTGATCTTTCACCAACAAACATAGTCTTTTGATCTTTATTTCTTTTTACTACACACTTATCAGACTCAAACACTACATGAAATCCATTACTGCATAATTGACTTATAGATAGGAGATTATGCTTCAGTCCTTCAACAAGCAAAACATTTTTAAAAACAGCAAAGGGTTTTTCTCCAATAGTTCCAGATCCAACCACTTTGCCACAGCCATTGTCACCAAACCAGACTTTACCTCCATTTTCAGATTTTAAGGAAGAGAAAAGAAATTTCTTACCAGACATATGGTGAGAACATCCACTGTCGAGATACCACTTATGGTAATTCTTGTTTGAATGAGATTCCTCTTCAAACTCAGTTCTGGCCATAAATGCCTCATCCTCTGACTCTGGATTCTCTTGATCAGAATCATAGTCGCTCCAGGTGGCCTTCATGGCTTTTTCCCTTGCTTTCAGTGTTTGAGGACAGTGGGCTCGAATATGTCCGAGTTTCCCACATTTGTAGCATGCCTGTGATTCCCTTTCTGATTGACCTGTTTCAATTTTCCTGGTCTGCTGGGGAAGCAGCCTAGCTTGAGAAAAATTTTTAGCTCGATCATAATTTCCATTTCTAGACTCATCTTGACGTTGTCTTTGCTCATTTTTATACTTTAACATTCTATGAAAGCGTTTGCTAACAAGAGCAAACTCTCTATCAAAGTCACTTTCCTCCTCACTTTCAGCATCATACTCCTCCACCATTTTAGATTTAAAAGCTAAATTTTTACTACGCCTTTCATCTTCTTGACCAACTTGTTTTAACACATGCTCATGACTTAACAATGATCCTATCAGTTCATTTATAGATAGAGTAGTTAAATTTTTAGCTTCTTCTATAGCTGTTCGCTTAGGTAGCCATTCCCTAGGCAGAGATCTAAGGATCTTCCTATTCAGATCCTTGGTTTGGTAAATCTTTCCTAGCCCTTTCAGTTTGTTTATCAAAACAGTGAATCTAGAGTACATTTCATGGATTCCTTCATTTTTAGACATGCAAAAACATTCATATTCATGAACTAAGAGGTCTATGCGAGATTCTTTTATATTGGAAGTACCTTCATAGGTGCTTTCGAGAGCAGTCCAAATCTCTGAAGCCGTCGAGCAGTTTTCAACTTGGTCCGCCTCATCTGGGTTCATCGCCGATTGCAACACATGCATAGCCCGCTGGTTTAACTGCGCGCTTTTCTTCTGGGCAGCAGACCAAAAGCTCTGCTCGTCATCGTTCATATCGATTGGTCCATCCTGCACAACTAACCAGAGATCTTCGTCAATCCCCCATAAAAACTGTTTCATTCGCTTTTTCCACGCGGTGTAATTTGACCCGGTGAAGATTGGCGGATGATTGATAGCAGCATGACCGAAGGAACCAGAAGCCATTTTTTGGATCGAAACCCTGGCAGTAGTTAACTTCGTCAAGAACCAGGCTCTGATGCCAATTGTAATCGAGAAAGAACTCGCTCGATTTGGGAATTAGGGTTCGAAGCAAGAAGAAGTTTCAGAGAGAACAAGTTTTAGAGAGAAGGAAAGAAAGGATCGAATTGGTTGGAGAGGAATGACCGAGTCTTCTCGGTTATGGTTATATAACGTGGGCCAATGTCTTGACTCGGCCCAGATGTAATGAACAGAATTGGTTGGGCTTGGTATGACTAGAGAAGGTCTTTCAGCCCAACACTTCTGTCAGCTACAATCCGACCAAAGAAACAGAGTTACCACTCTGCTGCTGCTTCAGCAACGAGACCAACAGAGTTCTGGGAAAAACAGAGTGCAAGAACAGAGCAGAGCAGAAATGGAGAAGACACAGTCCGTTTTTTAACGTGGTTCGCCCTAGTGCAATGGTGTACTTCCACGTCCCAGAATATGGTCTGGGAGACCTTTTATTAAGAAATAAAATGCAACTAAATATTAACACGAAACAAGCAAGAAGAAATTAGCAAACTAAACAACGAAAAGCCCAGCTGCCTTGACACCAGTTGAACCTCTGCCTCAACTTGTGTCAACCCTTTTGCAAACCCAGCGCTATGCCCTTTACCGCAATAGCTCCTACAAAAGTGAATTTGTCATTCTCAATCACTCGGGTATATATAGACTTCTCAAACAAGGAACTAGCCGTTGGAGGTAGAGAAGGTAGGTTCTCAATCAAGGCTACAGTTTCCTTAAGCGACTCCAGTGATTGAGCTGCAAAAGAATCAACGGTTAAAATAGACAATCTTCAACTTGATTTAATCCGCTGATTTCAACAACGTTGCCGTTGGTGGGAACGAAAACATAGCCAGCACAATCGAGTGGGCAATGTCAGAATTACTCAAGAGCGACAGAGCAATGAAATCCGTCCAGCAAGAGCTCGACGAAATCGTGGGGCCCGACAGCCTCGTCGAAGACCACCACTTGAAAGATCTGAAGTACTTGGACGCCGTGATAAAGGAGACCTGCCGTTTGTACCTGGCCCTCATGAACCGGACGGCGAGCCGAGCCTGCACCGTCGGCGGGTACACCGTCCCCCAGGGATCGAAAGTGTTCGTCAACTCGTGGGCCATCCACAGGGACCCGCAGTTCTGGGACGAGCCGTCGGAGTTTCGGCCGGAGAGGTTTCTGGACGGCGGGACGTTTGATTTCATGGGCAGCAGCAGCAGTTTCAAGTACGTTCCGTTCGGGTCGGGTCGGAGGATCTGCGCGGGGGTTAGTTTGGCGGAGAGGCTGCTGAAGTATGTGTTGGGTTCGTTGTTGCATCGTTTCGAGTGGAGGGTGGCTGATGGGGAGGAAGGAGGGGTTGATCTTTCTGATGAGTTTACTCTGTTCATCAAGAAGAAGAGGCCGCTGGTTGCGGTGCCGGCTTCTCGGCTGCCGGCTGGGCTGGAGCTGCTTGCTTATTAAGTTGGTGGTTGTGTAATTGGAAACTAGCTACGGGACTCAGAACTCAAGAAATGATGTGTATGTATAAATTAGGGTTAATATTTTCGTATGGCCTGAATTTTGACCAAAATAAACATCGTGGCCAATCTTTTCGATCTATAACATCCTGGCCCGAACTATACACTAAAATAAACAATTTGGCCAAACCCGGTGTTTGACCGTTAACTAGGACGATCAAACGCGTTGACTAACGGTCAACGCGCCACGTCACTGCCACGTTAGTGCCAAATCAGAAGATCTGATAAATATTTAATTTTTTTCGTTTTTTATTTTTAGTTTAACTAAGGTATTAGATGATTTTTTTAATTTATAATAATTTAAAATTAGGGAATGTGTGGAAATTGTGAATTATTTTAAATATTTTATGCTGACTTGGCAGTGATATGGCGCGTTGACTAACGTCAACGCATTTGACCGTCCAAGTTAACGGTCAAAAGTCGGATCTGGCCAAATTGTTTATTTTGGTGTATAGTTCGGGCCAGGATGTTATAGATCGAAAAGATTGGCCATGATGTTTATTTTGGTCAAAGTTCATGCCATACGAAAATATTAACCTATAAATTAATATATAAGTATATATGGAAAAACGCCTGCCGTGTCACTTAATTATCTTCACCAAAACGCTGATAGCCATGGCGCCTGGCGGTGATAAAATTTACAACGAAAGTCCTGGTGGTTGGAGAAGGGAAGAAAAACAGGGGAACCCCCAGTCAAATATATCGCAACGTTTTAGTAAATTGACATTGTTTTAGTAAATTTAATTAAAAAATATATTTTCAATCTATTTTATGAATTTGAAAGTTAAACATTGATGTTATTTGGTGAATTCAAGTATAAAAGTTTAGCTGTTGACGTCAAATATTGTATTTAAATATGAGTAATTGTTATTTTGTTTGAAATATTGTATCTTATTTAAATATGAATGTAGATTGTCAGTAAATTGTCTTTAAATATGTTTCACATATGATTAAATACATTGATGTTAATGATTTAAAATATTTCTACATATTTTGTTAAACCGACATGAACCAATTGTACCACTGATCGAAGCATATCACTTGCTAAACCAATACATGATACAATGACATAAACCGGTTTGGTAACCTTTGCATTTACTAACTCTTAACACTCACCACATCACCATTTACCATTGCAGCTGAGCTGACCATTACTAGTGTTCGTTCTAGTTGAGTTGTCCATTACATAGAGGTCATCTTTGGATTTTTATTAGACGTGAGTAGGGGTGTGCAATGGTCCGGTTCGTACCGGACCACACCGGACCAAACCGTTGTTAAGACCGGACCGGACCAGACCGAGTAAAATGCGGTCCGGTCCTTGGTCCTCATGAATTTTATAATTACTGAAGAAATGGTGGACCGAGATCATATTTGGACCGGACCGAACCGGACCAAATGGACCAAATGCAAGAATGGTCCGGTCCTTGGTCCTAACATGTCTTTCACTAATGGACCGCGGTTCTCATGAGTTTGGTCCGGTCCGGACCGAACCGAACCGTTGCACACCCCTAGACGTGAGAAAAGCGCATCCAAAAATTGGATTGACAAACATAGAAAAAAACAAAGAATGTCACTGTAACATTCTATATCCATTCGAAATCTAGGATACACCGTAGCTGCAAGCGAGTGGCCACCTCAAGAAAGAAAGCAGAATCCACTTTTTTAAAGAAAGCAAAAAGGTTGGAGGCTAATTCCTGATAAGTTACAAAAAAACGATGGTTCTTCTTCTGTAGTGGTTGGCACTCCGCACTTGGCACGTAGTCTTTGGTAATACGTCTTTCCCTTTCAGTCATACAGTGCTCAGTTGTTGAAGTGCGCATCTTCCGTTGCAATTTGGTTTCCCTGTTTAGCAGTAAAGCTAGCTAGCTGCCTCTCTTCCATTGGCCACCCTCTTATGACATTCAGTCTGATTCTTGTTCCTTGTCGAATAACTCACTCACTTTTCCTTTTCCATGGTGATATAGCCTATAGGTGATTTCCCACAGAGGATATCAGTTCGAGCAAAACCTGAACAACCTGAGGCTAATCCAACTGCAGAAGAAACCTACAGAGTGTAGAACTCTGTAGTTTGCATAGGAAGTAGTAGGGAACTCATATTTGGCATTTACCATCCTGTGTGCTTCCGAGCTTGCAGATCAACACCATCCACTCCCCATTTCAATCTCTCGGTGAAAATCAATCAAATTCAACTTTTGCTACTTCAATCCTTCATTCTAAACGAATCTCAAGCATCTCCCTATCAAAGGATCCAACAGCAAGTTAACAGAATGGAAACAATCGTCCACTCATACATTTGTTCTCTCCCATTAGTCCAGCTGACCACAAATGATGTTGGCAGAACCCCTACAGAAAGTCGAAACCAAATGGGATATGGAAAATCCTAGCGTTTAGAATTACCATGGTATTCTGCTAAGAGACAGCCTCATCAGAATCCAGCTCCCACCAAGAACCAGAATCTTCCCTCTCCACAACACCACCACCCATTTCATAACCTCCACCAAAGACACTATCATCATCAAATTCTCCACCGCTTGCAGTCTCATTGTAGAATGCATCCACAGCAGCATAAGCGTCTCTCTCCTTCTCCGGATCAAACCTCCACTCCAACCTCTCCAAAATCTCACGGTCGCTCCATTTCTCCACAACTGAGATGGCTTCCTTCTTAGCCTTCCCCATCAAAACCTCCTGCCAAGAAAACCCTGCATCAGCAACCCTCTTCAACGCCCCGTGCTCCAAATTGCCAACAACGACGGTCTTCAAACACCTTGACTTCGCCTCCTTAACTACACCAACGAAATCCGAATCATCTGAGACAAGAACTGTTTGACCCGGATTAGTACCGGGGGATTAGTGTGGAACCTTGATCCGGACTCCCTCGTCTGATCTCCTCGGGAGTGGAAGAAACCTGTGGAGAGTCGGGGGCGGCCCCCGTGATCTACACTCCGACGCCCAAGTTAGAATAGGATATATGATAGAGTGTAGAGAGAAATGTAGAGAGAGATAGGGTTTAGAGAGAGAACCATAAGTGGTAAAATGAGGGAAGGGAGAGAAGTCCCTTTGCTTGGAGGGTCTGGCCTCCTTATATAGGAGTCGGAGGCATCCATTGGACGCCTCCCGGTGGTGGACGCCTTCCGTCGATGGATGCCTCCAGGTGGTGGACGCCTTCCGGTGGGCGCCTCCCGGTGGTGGACGCCTTCCGTCGATGGACGCCTTCCGGTGGTGGACGCCTTCCGTCGATGGATGCCTCCAGGTGGTGGACGCCTTCCGGTGGGCGCCTCCCGGTGGTGGACGCCTTCCGTCGATGGACGCCTTCCGGTGAATGGACGCCTTCCGGTGGTGGACGCCCCCGGGTAGGCTGGACGCCTCCCGGTGATGGACGCCCCCCGGTGTACTGGACCCTAGAATGGGCTTGGGCCCAAGGTGAGACGCTTTGTGGTGGGCTTGGGCCCGTATTAGGCGGGTTAATACTAGACCCAACATTTGCCCCTTTGCTTCTTGTATTCTGTAAGAATGGAAGGAGTAAATAACGCGTTAAGGTGTATTAACTTGCCTTACTTGTGAGTCCGCACGATGCGGTTTTGCCCCTTGTGCGGCTTTGCCCCTTGTGCGGCCATTGCTTGGTGATGGACGCCTCTCAATGGTTGAGACGCCTCTCGATGATGGACGCCTCCGGTGATGGGCGCCCACGAGTGGACTGGACCCTTGCGGGTCCAAACGATGCGGTTTGCCCCTTGTGCGACCATCGTCTTTGCTTCTTTGTTTAGCATTCGATGTATTGAGTTAAAGCTCTCAAGTCGTTTGAGATTTCCCCACTAGCCCATTGCGAAGCGTGCTAATATGTAGGCCGTAACTGTGAGCTGTATGCGTTAAGCTGTTGGACCGCGAGATGGGCATGAGCTTGTGTGCATGTTAAGCGTGAGTTGTTGGCTGAATAGTAGGTGTTAGCTATGTGCTAGGGAGGGCGGCCCCCACGACTTGAGAGTTTTAACTCAAGGCGGCGTTTGTGTTTTGAAGATGCCACACCTACTGGGAGGCGGGATCGTAGTTCTTGCTATACCGATGTCGCGCCTACTGGGAAGCGGATTCGGGCTTCTACCTCGAGGGGAAGCATCGCTCAGGAAGCGGGATGCGGTTTTATATCTGCGAAAGATGTGAGTGACTAGTGCCCCATATTTTTAGAGCACAAACAGAAGCATAGTATGCGTGAAATATGTCATAGTATAGTGGAAATTATTCTCTTCATGGCATGACATGGTATATGAGATATATGTTGTCCAACATGATTCGTAATGAGCATCTTCATGGCATATGATATAAGAAATATCTTGAAAGGGATAACTTAGCTATAAGAGACGCAGTAGAGAACTAGAAGAAATAATGGCGGTCGCATTTTGATTCACAAAATGTCTTGCAGTGCAGTGGTGTGCGCTCCACCTAGTACGAAGAGGATGCGTGTTCGATCCTCCATGGACGCCTTTCTAATATTATTTTTATGTTGAGTTCTTCATTCGTGGGCTTGCTGGACACTGATGTCATCAAGCGCGGAAGGCGGGCCGCGACTAATGGGCCGCGTTGGAGGCGGTCGTAGACTTTGCTGCGGAGCGGCTGGGCTTGGCGGGCGGTCCACTTCCTCGAAATTGAGGAGGTGGGCCTGTGTTGCATGACAGAAGGCGGGCTGGATGTTCTTGGGCCGTCGGAGGCGGGTCGAGGTTCCCAATGCGACGCGGGTTGGGCCTCCTTTCGGTAGGCGGGCTGGATTGGCATGACGGCGGGTTGGTTCCGGGCCGCCTTGGAGGTGTAGCAGGTCTTGGACTGAGACGAAGTGGGCTTTTCTTGAGGTCTAGGCGGTATGGATGCGGAGGTGGAACTCAAGTGCTGAGGCATTGGAGGTGGGCCGCATTGGAGGCTAGCTGGCGGTTGGAGATGTAATTGGTGTTGTAAACTAATTACACTATGCGTCCTTGTAGCGAACTGGTGAACAGTCTTGTGCGTGGAAATTTGAACGCGGGATCGAATCCCGTGCAGAGCATTGCTAGATTTCTTTTTTGTTGGAATGCAGTGCGGATCATGTCTGAAGCGGGGCCAACTACTCTGAAGCTGGATTTGAGGCAGGCTCACGTTGTGGGCTTTGGTCTGGCTGGAGGCTAAGAAGCGCTGGTAGAGGAATTTCTGAAACGGGCCAAGAATGCTGCTGAAGCGGGCCGCTGACTGGAATTAATTAGAGGATTGTGAAGCGGGCCGCTGGACGACCATTGGTGGCATGGGCCCTGAGGGCTGAAAGGTGGGAGCATGCGGCTGCCAGGCGATTTGGACGCATCGATGGCCTGCTCCTCTAACAGAGAGAGAAAGTGAGATGTCACTGACTTTTGGGGAAGAGTGACTCAGAGATAGTTGTCCCATATGTGCCAGCTTTTTACTGTAGCGGACAGGCTTTCTTTTGACAGGAGATGGTGACGTTGACTGCTGTCGGGTTTTTTTTTTTCTTTTTTTTTTTTTCTTCTTCTTCTTGTTTTACAGATCTGAGGTGGTTAGAAGTGACGCCTACACTAGTGGAGAAAGAATCGGCTCTGTAAGGCTTTTTTGAACTTGAGACAGTTCCAGATCTGCCTTTTTGAATCTTTGGATTTTTCTTTGATGGTTGCGGGAGATGGCTTCGGCTGAGCTGTTGAAGATGAGAGGTGATGGCGGAAGAGCTGATTTCTCTCAATCCTCTGATGGGATTTTGCGGTCGGAGCCGTCGGTGGTAATTAGTAGAGAAAAAATTGATTTCTTCTCCTCCTTCAGATACCACACAAGAAGAGTACCAAATCAGGCCCCACGGTGGGCGCCAAAATGTTTGACCCGGATTAGTACCGGGGGATTAGTGTGGAACCTTGATCCGGACTCCCTCGTCTGATCTCCTCGGGAGTGGAAGAAACCTGTGGAGAGTCGGGGGCGGCCCCCGTGATCTACACTCCGACGCCCAAGTTAGAATAGGATATATGATAGAGTGTAGAGAGAAATGTAGAGAGAGATAGGGTTTAGAGAGAGAACCATAAGTGGTAAAATGAGGGAAGGGAGAGAAGTCCCTTTGCTTGGAGGGTCTGGCCTCCTTATATAGGAGTCGGAGGCATCCATTGGACGCCTCCCGGTGGTGGACGCCTTCCGTCGATGGATGCCTCCAGGTGGTGGACGCCTTCCGGTGGGCGCCTCCCGGTGGTGGACGCCTTCCGTCGATGGACGCCTTCCGGTGGTGGACGCCTTCCGTCGATGGATGCCTCCAGGTGGTGGACGCCTTCCGGTGGGCGCCTCCCGGTGGTGGACGCCTTCCGTCGATGGACGCCTTCCGGTGAATGGACGCCTTCCGGTGGTGGACGCCCCCGGGTAGGCTGGACGCCTCCCGGTGATGGACGCCCCCCGGTGTACTGGACCCTAGAATGGGCTTGGGCCCAAGGTGAGACGCTTTGTGGTGGGCTTGGGCCCGTATTAGGCGGGTTAATACTAGACCCACTCCAACCTCTCTCCTTCTCCGGATCAAACCTCCACTCCAACCTCTCCAAAATCTCACGGTCGCTCCATTTCTCCACAACTGAGATGGCTTCCTTCTTAGCCTTCCCCATCAAAACCTCCTGCCAAGAAAACCCTGCATCAGCAACCCTCTTCAACGCCCCGTGCTCCAAATTGCCAACAACGACGGTCTTCAAACACCTTGACTTCGCCTCCTTAACTACACCAACGAAATCCGAATCATCTGAGACAAGAACAACACACTCGGCCTTCTTCTTGTCCATCACATCGACCATATGCTCCTTCAACGCCACATCAGCTGCCTGTGGTTTGTTTGAAACAGTCCCAACCCAAAACCCTGCTCTTTTCAGTTCATCTGCCAACCCATACCCAGTTTTCGGAGTCAAAACATCCCTCGAAGCATTCCTGTACTTCTGCATCTTCATAGCATACTTCCCAACCAAATTCACCCTCCTCTTCCCTCGAGCCGATTCGATCTGGTTCACTCTCTTCTGATGCTCCCTCTCGTGGATCTGTTTGAAGTGATTGACCATCTTCTCGTTGTTGTAGAACTTTCTCCCGCAAACCTTGCAGACATAGGGCTCTACTGGCTTAATGACGCCCTTGTTTTCTAACTGGTTCAGCAACTTCCTATCCTTCCTCTGCTCTCTCACAGCTTGTGGCACATAACTAAAGGCGTGCCGATTGGCGTAAGCCACCGTGTGTTGAACTACCCCGAATGAGGAAGCTGCCCTTTTGAGCTTCATGGCTGCCTCAAATGGAGGAATCGAGTTTGGGGGCTTGTTATCCAAATCCCAGAAAATTGCCACTGTGGGGGTATTGTGGGGGGCTTTTGGTGGTAAAGTAGCTGACTTTGTGTTGAAATGGCGGAATCTACACGAATCGAGAAATGGGTTGTGGGTTTTCAGCTGTGCCCATTGAAGTGAGTAGTGGCAGAGCCGGCGGGAATTTGAGAACATAGCGGCTTTCTAAAAGGGGTCGTTGGTTTTTATAGAATGAAAGAGGGACTATACAGTTGTGGAGAGCGTAAACTTACAATGATGATCATCTACAAAATCAGCAACATTAATAAAATCAAGCTTAAACCAATCAACTCTACTTCAAACTTACAAGTTCTCAATTGCCTCAAACTAGCAGTAACATCAATAAAATCAAACCAAGCAAACTAACCACGCTGCGCGGTTTCTGGAGGGGCGAAGAAGGAATGGGCGCTGGGTTTTTGGAGCTTAGAGAGGAAGACCAAAGGGCGACGAACGAATGGATCGGAGAGGAAGACGACGGGGTTGTTTCTAGAGGACCGCAAAGGAACGAATGATCGAGGTTTCAGGCTCGGTGAGACTGAGGAAGAAGAAGAAGAGAGCTTGCGAGCGGCGGATTCGAGATAAGGGAGGGTTTCTTCTGGAGATTGCGAGCGGCTGACAGAAAAAAGAACACGAAAAGGTTTGACAGTTGCGGGCCGCGGGATTCGAAACGGGGTTTAATGAAATTGGCGCCTCATTTTTAGCAACGCTGCCTCACTGGCTGGCTGACAAGAAGGTGCAAAACGTCGCCGTAGTCTGGGTCCGTCGATCAATCGAGAGTTTGGGCGAGAAAACTGTAAGAGTAAGAAGGGAACAAAGGTGATTGCTGTGCGTTTCCCGGTGAGTGGCGACCCCAACAATCAAGTGATCGGGCAGGAAGCTGGGGGGGAATTGAATTAGTAAAGCAATGAAAGGCGTCTTAGCGGCGCCGGGAGATTATGTCCACTTCAAGTCCCAAGTTCCTCTCCATAAGATCCCCGTAAGTCTGAGTACCCAATTTCCTTCTCTCATTTTCCCAACTTCGGGTTTGTGGGAAATTCAACTTTGGGGTGTTATTAGTTACTTCCAGTGGGTATGCTTTTGTTTTGGCTGTAGACTGTTCTTTTCACAAAGTTAATTTACTGCTGGGTTGATCACTTAATCTAGGTGTGTGTTGATCTTCCTGCATGTATGTTGTGTTGAACTTGATTCTAGCTTCTGCTATGGATTTGGAAGCCTGAACTAGAATTGGGAGCTTTGGCTAAGTGATTAAACTGTTTGTGATTGTCAATTGTTGGACATGCGTTTTTTCCTGGTCATTTTATAAATTGAACAGGGATTTTCTTCCAGCATTATCTTATCACAGTTGGATTCTCTGGATGGTGTTTTGATGCTCCGCTGCTGATCTTGTTCTTCTGTAGCACAATGAGTTTCCTCTTTATAGCTTGATCTCTTGTAGCGGCAGCTATTGATTAGAATGCCCTTTCTTCCCCTTTTTTTTCATGTTTTATGTTCCTCGTATAGATTGGATCAAAGCAGTGGCGATACTATGATTTTGGTCCCAAAACGGTTCCTCCTCTTATTTGTCTTCCTGGAATAGCAGGCACCGCGGATGTCTACTACAAACAGATTATGGCACTGTCCATGAAGGTAATTTTCCAGCTCTCTTGCTATATTATTTCAACTGCCCATAGAGTTGGTATTTTAATGGTTCAAGTGTATCTCGGAAGAATGTTTAGCAGCAAGCCGATATATCACATTGGAATATTGGAGATGATATCATATTAGGCTCTATAATGCTCCATCTACGTGCTTCGAAATCAACGAAAGTGTGATGCTCCAGCCTTGGTAATTCTCGGGTTATTTTTTGGATGTATGATTCTTTTCTGCATGAACTTTTTACATATGCTTTAGGGAGGATTTCATATGCCTTAAGGATGCATGTCAATTTAAAAGTTTTTTCAATGTGTATCTAATGATCAACTATTTATTTTCAATATGATGGCATTTGGATTGTATTTCACAACATGTTTAAAATATGCAGGGATACCGGGTGATCTCTATCGATATTCCACGTGTTTGGAATCATATAGAATGGATTCAGGAGTTTGACAAGTTCTTAGATGTCATCCATGTTCATCATGTAAGAATCTTTCTTCGATATGCCCATTTTTTCTTTTGTTGAACAGTTTGTTCTCTGTTCATAGATTTTATGTTGCATTTGCTTTTGAATTGTCTCGTGCCAACAAACTCTGATTGTCCTTCATTTTCCTGGCATAATCCTGTTGACTTGTTAGAGGAACTAACTTTATTGTAAATATGACAGATGCATCTCTATGGTACATCTCTTGGAGGCTTCTTGGCTCAAATATTTGCTCAGCATCGTCCAAGGCGGGTGAGATCATTGGTCCTGTCAAATACATTTTTGGATAATCGGAGTTTTGCAGCTGCTATGCCATGGGCACCTTTGTAAGTCCTATGGTCACATGTCTTTGTCAATTGCTCTCCTTCAACCTCTAGTAAAATGGAATATTGTAGTGTTTTCGTATAGGTTAGAATCTAAATTCATGAACTTACTCCTTAAAGAGTGTCATTTCCTGATGGTCAAAGCACAATAACAATGGCGGATCAATTGGGTGTGGCTGATAAATTTTTCTTTGTTCACTATCTCATTTAAATGTACAGTGTATCACTAATTTTATTTATATTATCTGTGTCGTGACTTTAATTTTATCCTCCAATTTTAAAACCTACTTTCAAATGCTCCTCCTCAGGTTGAAACACTTTCGAAGGATGATCTTGCATCAAGGCTGATATTGAATGTTGATGCCACATCAGTTGGATCTCTTCTCCTTTCAGATCAATTCATCACTATCATGGATGTGAGTTTCACCTGATCCTGTTTCAGCTGCTCACCAACTTTTCTTGTATAACAAGGCAGTGCTAGTTTTTTCTTCCTAACTGCTGTATTTTGGTTATCCTGGTGCCCTCCTGAAAAGACGAATAATTACTGTGCAACACCTCAGCAATTGAAGGATCAATTAAGTGAGAGGCACCCCGAGGCAAGGCGAGCTCACTTGAAGAGTGGTGTTGATTTTCCCATTTTTTCTTTCACGTCCAGATGAAGTCAACTTGCATCTCCAGGTTGATAATCTACTGTAACTAACAAGCTCAATGGACAAGTAAGCATCTTTTACTGATATTTCAGGGTTGCACAAATATTTGCAGTTGCACCTGATGCGAGTTGGGTTAGAACCTCGACCTGACATGGTGAGGGCATGCCACCTGGAAGGGGACCGGTGGAAGTCGAAGCAGAGAGAAAGATGAGAAGGAAGAAGATGATCGAGATGGTCAATCAAAAGATGGAGGGAACTCTGCAGAAAGCTCTTCTTCAGGTAGCGATCCGCTGCCTTTGCCTCCTCCAGAGAGTTCTGAATCACAAAGCACCTGCACCAGTGTTGATGAGCTCCTCAACAAGGCTGTTTTGACCGCACGGAGATATGATGCAGCGGAGGCATTTGCTCATCACTTGGTTGCCTCTTGCGTGGGATATGTGTACATTTGTTTGAACTATGGTTCGGATTTCAGGCAAATGCTGATGTAGCGACAACGGGTGTGCATGCTGCTCCGTTGAGTTTTCCACAAGCGATGTGGCGAGAACAGATTTGATAATCTGGTGTTTGGTAGTGGTGTTGCATTGCATATCACCAATGATTGCCCATGTCTGGCATTGTTGTAAAATTTGGCGTTCGAAGGTTCTTTCATAATTTTTCAGTTAGGTTCATGGTTACCATGAGATTCCGAGCAGACCATCACCATTGTATAGTGTACTATTCTGAACTGCTTTTACAAGTAGGCTGGTTGAAACTATTAGTCTTTACATTGTTTTATTCTTCTCAAGAAGCTGGGTGCAAGTCACAACCTCGTCCGTTGGAATACTAACCATTGGATATCAATATCATCAAGCGACAGCAGACTGTCAAAATATGAACTCTTTGAGAACATCAACTACAAAAGTTGTCTTCTGCACACAAAAAAAAAGAAGGAGACTTGGGAGTTGCACCTCCAATAATGTGGTGAGCAGTTAGTTGCTCGATTGCTACTGAGATAACACGAACGTGAGTAAGAGATGATTGGTTGTAGGCTTTTCGAATTTGTAGGAATCACAGAGAAAACAAGGATTACCAGTAATTCATCCATAGACGAACCTTCCCGAACCCATCTTCCAAATGAAACTCTCGTTAATCAGAACTCGAGTAATGGTTTTTGTGCCACCTCTCATGCTGGTAGTGATATGAAGGCCATAACGATTAGGGTCAGGAATAAATAAAGAGATTTGTGTATTCTACATCTCATCCAAAGCTTAGAGGTACCTTGTACAACATATCTTCACAGCATAACCATAAATGCATAATGCCAGACAAATCTATTCTTAATATTTCATCAACTTACAGAATTCTCAAGTCGTTGCAGCACAAAAGGAAACTCAAAGTAGCTATAATTGTTGGAGAGAAATCCCCACCATACAAGAAAGGAAAACAAGATGCATGTAGTAACTGAGGAACAGCAAGTCAATGCACTTGTCCAACGCACTGATCCATAAAACCTCGAGAAACCGTCTACAAGGTCTCTCATGGTTGTCGGCAACAGATTCCATTTGCACATTTGCAACAAAACCTCCACTCCTCTACCCAGCTGTCCTTGTCTTAAAACCCTAAGCAACCAGAGTACTTGCTGTAGTAGACTCGCTGCATCGAAATAAAATAAATATCAGCAATGCAAGTCATGTAAAGCGGGCGTTTCTATTAACAGATTCACCAGAGATTTTATCTGATTGAAAATATCAAGCACCAGATAATGATTAATGATTAGCCATCTAAATAACACATTACAGAAGTAGAGCAGCCAAAAACACAGCCCAATGATATGGTTCATCAATACTTACGGTCTTATCCCAACCAGATTAGAGAGACAGCTTGTAGCCCTCGTTTAGCTCTAGTTTCTTTTATGCTACAAATTCTAAGTAGTTGGCCATAGTAAAAGCAAAAGGAGATCGAGATTCTGATTCTGATTCTTCGACTAAAAAAGAGAACTTTCATGCACAATATCTCCTAAATAATTCCATGGAAGAACCGTCAATGTCTAAATGATATGGTTCATCAATACTTAGGGTTTATCCAACCAGATTAGAGAGTCAGCATGTAGCTCTCATTTAGCTCTGTTTTCTTTCATGTTATAAATTCCAAGTAGTTATCCATAGTAGAAGCAAAAGGAGACCGAGACTCTGGTCTTCAACCCAAAAAGAGAACTTTCATGCACAATATCTGCTTCCATAACTCCGTGGAGGACCCATGACCAACTCACTAACCCATAACAACACTCAGCTAAATGCGTCACATGCCTTCATTCCATTATATCTAGGAGAGAAATCGAATCGCAATTCTCAATACAACACAAGGGCAACATTTCTGTCATTGGAAAGTTGAAGATAGATTCTGAAAAGTGGGGAACAATGGCATGTAGAGAAAGGAAAAACTCACTATTTCCAGACGGGAGGGAGCTTCTTGGTGCTCTTGTAATAGCGGGCGAGCCTATGAATCCTGCTCTCCACCAGAATCAACCTGAACTTGGAATCCTTATCCTTCCTGTTCCTCTCCAGATGCTTGCGAACAGCCACAGCCTTCTTTATCATGTGGTAAAGATCCTCGGGGATCTCCGGCGCCATTCCGCTGGCTTTCAGAATCCGCAGAATCTTGTTCCCCGTCACGCTTTTCACCTGAGCAATACCGTGAGAGTCCCTGAGGATCACGCCGATCTGTGACGGCGATAGCCCCTTCTTCGCGAACTTGCAGATGTTCTCCTCGACCTAAATTCAATTCGCAACAATTAAATTAAGACTCTGAAAATCGAAGAGAAAGTGAAGGAAAAGGAAAAAGAGAAAGAATGGCGGCGGGAGCATACATCTTGAGCAGTTGTTTTGAGCCAACTGTGAGGAGTGCGCTTGTACTTGGCAGCAGAGGCGGAGATGCCTTTCCTGGTAAACAGAAACGAGATCAGAACAAATTACGCCATGGAAATGAGATAAGGCGAGGGAGATAGAGAGAGAAGCGAACCCGCGGCTGTGCATACGACCCATGGTGGAAGGATTGCGGGGGCTGCTGCCTTGAAGCTCTGAAGATGATGAAAGCTGGGAAGCAAGTTGAAAGCGCAGCGAAGTGACCTAGTGACTGGTTTGCGGTTTGGTTTTATATTTAGAGAAGAAGGTGTAGCGTGGATCAATATGTGCGGGCTTCATGAATTGGATTAACGAGCCCAGTTGATCAGTACGAATCAAGCAGTCGAACAGGCCCATTACTAGCCCAGTTATACTCTTGTTATATAGGTCCGTTTTGGATAATGGGCAAGGGCACATAGTGGTTGTTTTGTAAATTGTCTCGTGCTGTAATTATAATGTGTGTTTGATTTCTGTCACGTGAGCATAATTTCATTGTCCTCAACTATTTACCACTCTATTCCAGCAGTCGTGACAAATTGTTAGTAGTTGCAGCCACTAGTGCTAAAAAACAAATATACTTGAGAGAGCAAGATCTGAAGGGTGATAAAGAAAAGACAACGAATTAACGACAATATACGCAATTCGGTATTTTCCTGACAATATCTAATGGTAGCTTACCAATTTGGTTTCGATATTTTTGGTTTAAATCAAAACCGAACCGATAAGTTGGTCTTGTAGATTTATGGAATTGATTTTAAATCAATGTGTACTTATCAATTTCAGTCTCCGTTTAAACCGAAAAATTAATAAGAAACCAAACTCATATTGCATTAATGGTCGCATATTGCATGTCAGACCCATAGGCTCCTTCTTTTTCCTCAGTCGTCCTTTGGACACGCCATTGTTATTGTTTGAGGAAAAAAAGATGAAGAACCTCACTTTTTACTACTATTCCTTTAGGGAAATCCCAAGATAACAAAATCCTAAAAGTGAAATTGATGAGAAGCGGGAAGACAAGAAACGAAAGACAACTCATAGGACTTTAGTATTTTGCATATACATTTTCTTTTGGATCTCCGTTTTCATTTTATCTATCACTACACATGTAGAGGGGACCGCAAAAACCGTAGGAATTATACGATGTGACAAACATATCTCTCTCTCTCTGAAGGAGGCGGTTACAAAACCCTACAAGCTAGTCGGCGGCGATGGCGGTGCGCTCAATACTTCCTGTACCCAGACCCTCCAGCATCCGGGTAAATTGCAAAAGCAGCTTCGCTGGTGGCGACGGCGGCGGCGACGAAAGGGGACCCCTTGGAGAATCCGGCTCGGCAAGTGAGAAATGTGCGTCTGGTAAGGTGGGCATTCCTCAATTGACCCTTCATCAGTGGATTGTGTCCACTCAGCTACGGTTGGAAATTGAAGGAGCCGTTCTAGAGAGGCAATGGTGGGTTCGCCGCCGATGTCCAGAATCTTCTCCAATTTCCGAGCCTCCTGTTGGATGTCGAACATGAAACCGTCCGCTTGAGGAAATGCGAAACCCTCTTCCTCAGCTGCTGCTTCCGCCATCCGGGGATCTCTTGGTGAGCTGCACAAAGAGTTGGTGATGGCGCCAAGATTTTGGCGGGTCCAAACGTTATAATCAAGCGGGAACCACCGTCGAGAGCCTTAAAGTGACTGTGGCAGCAGTATATAAATCCCATTCCAGTTGGTCTGGTCTCCCTCGATCTTGAGATCATTTTGGCCCCAGATTTCAGCACCTAATCTCCGGGAGATCCCCCGACACTCTAGCCACGAAAACCGCCACTACATAGACTCCCCTGTTACGAAGTCCTTGCCACCGGAGTATAATTTCCTCCCCAGAATCCCAGCCGTGATCAAACTCCGGCGTCGATTAAGCTGGCCGCCGATCATGGTCGCAGACTGAACCGTTACGTCATTAATGGACATGAATGCATTTATAACTCTCGGATCCATTATTGGAGAGTTTAAGGCTGTAGTAAAGCCTGGTAAGCGTACCTATAGGGGCGCAATTGGGACAGTTAATTGCCCAATTAGTGATTCAAAATCACAGAAGCCATTTAAGGAATATAATGGAGGATTCAAATCGGTGTCATCCAGCCTAAACGGCTCTGCAATTGATTCTAGGCATAATTCACTCCTTACCATAGCACTTCTTAAGCCCGTAATTAGAGGCCTTAATGTGGCCCAAATTTCAAAAGGCCTCTTCCTACAATCATCAGGATTAGAACCCATTAAAATCCCAAAATTAACCGGATCCTCTTACTCTTATTCCAGCCACCTGAATCTTTTCCCCTGTTCCTCGCTGGTAAAAACAGAGAGCTCTCTTTTCTCTTTCGTCCTCACTATGGCTGGGCCAATTGAGTTCAACGATGAGGTGCTGGAAGCCGGCCAAACCAGAGCGCGCCTTAGCTTGGTAGGCAGTTTGCTGTGCTCGTCCCACCCTTCCAGAGTCCGGGTTCAACATACGGCCAACAACCTTTGGGCAAAAAGAGCCCCTGTCACCGTCTTGGATGCAGGCCATGGGCTGTTCCAGCTGGTTTTCTCTAATGCAACCGATCAGCAGGAAGCCTTGGGGAAGGCTCCGTGGTTCCTCCAATCCAAAATTCTCACGCTGAAGAGATGGGAATCTCCCTCCGAACGAGTCTTCCTCGAACTCGCCAGAGTTCCTTATCTTGTCCAGCTCTGGAACTTGCCTGAAGAGTACAGAACTGTTGCACTCGGAAGGCTTCTAGCATCTCGCCTGGGTTCTGTTATGGATGCTGGAATGTACGCTGTCTGGGAAAGCCCGGGATGTGTATTCAAGGCCAGGGTAATGATAGACGTCTCGTCCCCATTGCAACATCGCCTGGAAGCCAGGAAGAGAAATTCAGACGGCTCGTTGGGGGATCCTTTCTGGGTCTATCTCAAGTACGAAAATATCAAGTCAGTTTGTTTTAGATGCCGGAGAATTGGCCACAACCAAAGCTACTGCTCATTCGACTTGGTGACAGGGGATGATGGGTTTGGTCCGGAGATTATCGGGAATAGAACTGGCCCGAAGCTCAACGAAAACTCCTACGCGACAGCACGCAAAGGAGGACGTAACTGGGGAGGAAACGTCTGGCGACACGGCTCCCGGCCTTCACCGCAATCTCGGTCCAATACATTGCTCCTTGAAGCGCCATCCAGGGGCGGCGACGAGAGAGTCGGCGGAGGAAGTCTCATCCCGCCTGGCTCTTTTAGGCGAGGAAGAAGAGAAGTCTGGGCCAGGGGGCGTCTTGAGGAAGCGGCTGGATCCGCCAGAATTGGGCCAAGGGTAGAGCTGGCCCATCCAAGAGAAGTGGATGGCAGCGGTCCAGTGCAACAGGTAATGGAGGCCGAGGCAACTAACCAACCTCTTGGCGGGCCCATTATTGAAAAGGCCCAGTCCGGTCAGCAATCATTGTTGAAGCCCACCCCACTCCAAATTCATGTTCCATCACCCTCCTACGGGTTAGGTAATTTATATTGCAGTGAAGATCCTGGATTTTTATTTGATGATTTTGAAGATAATCACTTATTTGGATCTCAAGGAATGGGGATGGATTTCTTTGATAATGGAGGTATGGATCAATCTACAGATACAGCCTTTTCTTGCTCTCCGTTAGGGTGTGCGGCGGATGGAAAATCTAAAGGGAAAGCAATTTTGATAGAATCGTCAGAGTCCCCAAGAGTCTATGTTCGAAGGAATATTGGAATCTGTATTCAGGAACCAGAAGAAGGGGTGGTCAATTCCATACCACAGAGTCCAGGAGAGGACAACAGCAAAGGAAAAAGGGTGGAGGTAGCCAGCCCCAACTGGCCCCAACACTCTAAATGAATGTCTTCGCGTGGAATTGTCAAGGGATAGGGAGTACCTTGACATTCCAAACGCTAAAAGCTCACCGAAATTTGTCTAAGTCGTTCTTATTTCTTTGTGAAACTATGTCTCCTAGAGACAAAGTGGAGTCTTTCATGTCACGTTTAGGGTTTTCAGATTGCTTTCCTGTGAACCCTACCGGCCTGTCGGGGGGTCTAGTGTTTGGTTGGCCACGTGGGGCCTCAGTCTCGGTTATTGGCTCAACCTCTTTTTTCATTGCCATTTCGGTCATAAATAATAACTCCCATTGCTATGGTGCGTGTCCTCGTTTTGTGCTAGTAGGGGTTTATCTTTCTTATAATGTCACAAGTCGGCGCTCACAATTAGAAGAGCTTAACGGGTTTTGTTTAAGGTTATCAGATCCATTTCTAATAATTGGAGACGTGAACTGCTCCCTATCTCCGTCAGAAAAATCAGGTGGAGCCCCTTGGCGAATGGACAAAGCCCGCCCTCTTTGGGACTTTCTAAACAATTTGGGTATGATAGAAATGAGGTTTCAAGGGCCAAAATTTACTTGGACTAACCGTGATAGAAATGGTATACTAATCGAACAAAAAATTGACAGAGCATTTGTT